AAAAATTTTTTTTAAAGAATAAATAAAAACAGTTTTTCCAGAGATGGGTTGCGGCTGGAAGGGCATCCGCTGCCTAAAAACTAGCTGGATAAGTTGGCGGTTCATTCCGCTGTGGCGACCCCGGATTAATAAAGGGACTAGGTTGACAAGAAAATGAATGAATAAAAACATTGTTTTAATTTCAGAATTATTAATTCAAATTTAGTGTCAATAGCAAGCAAAATACTCCTCCAATAAGGTGAGTAAAATCATCTTGTTTTTGGTTTGAAATAAGATGATTTAACTTACACCATTGACATTATTTAGCTGTTTTTAGGAAGAGAAAAAAAAACTTACTTTACTTTGACATATTATTTCTAAAAACAAGTTATTTTGTCTAAAAATGCTTATTTATTAAATAATTTTCAGATATTTGGACCAGACACGAGACAAAAATTCCAAGCAGAAAATTTTCTCCCTTTAAAAATACTACTTATTCATTAGACATCCTTGTAATAATTACAGTTAGTATGTATTTATTAAACATTCATTTCATTTTCTTGTTGGTTTAGTCTCTTTATTAATCCGGGGTCACCATAGCGGAATGAACCGCCAACCCATACAACAAGTTTTTACACAGCAGATGACCTTCCAGCCGCAAGCCGTCGCTGGGAAACATCCACACACACATTCACACACACACACACACACACACACACACACACACACACACACACACACACACACACACACACACACACACACACTACGGTCAATTTAGCCTACCCAATTCACCTGTACCACATGTCTTTGGACTGTGGGGGAAATTGGAGCACCTGGAGGAAACCCACACGAAGGCAGGGAGAACATGCAAACTCCACACAGAAACGCCAACTGAGACGAGGTTCAAACTAGCGACCCAGCGATCTTCTTGCTGTGAGGTGACAGCACTACCTACTGTGCCACTGCCTCACCCTTATTAAACATTCATTAGTGCTAATGAAGCTTTTTTTTTTTTTTTTTTTTAACATTTCACATTTATGCCATTGGAGATCTGTCAATCAGATATCAGTATTCAATATCTTGATGACTGAAACTAATAGAAGTTAATGTTTTTTAAATGTATTAGTTACTAGTAACTACTCAGGTAGCAAAGAATTCTGGCCCAGGTTTGGCATAAAGCTGGCACAGCAGGCATTTGTCCGGCATTAGCGTACAGCATTTGGGCCAAACATGGCCTGGGTTTTGCAAAGGTGGCACAGTCTCTAAGGCGACATAAAAGACTTGGGCCATATCAAATGTAGTATTTATCCCAGATGTCAAAATGTATATGTGGGCCATGTAAGTTTGGCCTATCTTGACCCACTTTAAAATACATTCAAATAATTTTTAGGTAAAGAAAAAATTCTACCAATCAGGTCGCTTTGAGAAAAAGGACGGCCATAAAGCGAAATGCTTCATGGGTTCATAAAATTCATTGCAGTGGTGATAAACCAACATATCTGGCCCATATCAGAGCCAGTCATGTGTTAACTTGGTTTAGACTTGGCCCAGAAAGGGTCCATCTTTGGCCTTTGTATGGAAGTCAGACTTGGTCCAGCCATGTACAGTAATTCACTGTGTGTGCCAAGCAAAATCTGATTGTGTGGGCCAGAGAAATTTTGCTAAGTAGGATTCATCAACACCCAGGTAGCAAAGAATTTTGGCCCAAAGCTAGCACAGCAGGCATTCGTCTGGCACTGGCATACAGCATGTGGGCCAAACATGGCCCGGGTTTGCACCAAAGGTGGCACCATCTTTAAGGCGACACAAGACTTGGCCAGATGTTAAATGTAGTATTTGAACCAGATGTTAAAAATTCATACATGGGCCACGCAAGTTTGCCGTATTTTGACCCACTATTAAAATACATTTAAATTATTTTTACGTAAAGAAAAAAGATTCATGGGTTTATCAAATTCATTGCAGTCATGACACACCAACATATCTGGCCCCATTCAGATCCAATTATTGATTGTTAACAAGACTTGGCCCAGATGTGGTCCATGTTTGGCTCTTGTAGAGAAGGTAGACTTGGTCCAATCGTACCGTAAGTCACTGCGGCATGTGGGCTAAGCAAAGCTGATTGTGTGGGCCAGATCTGGGCCAGAGAAATTTTGCTATGTGGGAATAGTTACTACAGCCACTACAGGGATAAGTACGATCCAATAAGTAAAGAAGACTGCTATCTTTTCAATATCAGCTTTGAATTAGTTAGTAATATAGTATCTAAGGAAAAGGTACTAGTATATGAAATGCTGATCTGTATAGTTACCAATATTGAATGAGCACTAATAAACAAATACTATTAGATAAGGAATACTTAATGAACATTCTATACTTGCATCCTTAAAAAATGAGAACCAGTGGCACAAAAATAGACGAGTATGTTTGTAGGTGAAATGTTAAAATGGTTTGCCATATCAGTTTGGAGAAAGGAGAATGTTTAAACATTTTCTGATTCTGTGAAAACAATGAAGTGGTAACTGAACAATGTGGCCTGGTTTTACATTAACATTGTCCTGCTCAACAAATCAATTTAAGGAGAGCCTGCAGTTATGAATTATTCACCCTACAGTGGAATGTGCAAAAAAAAAAAAAAACATGTTTTCCAAAAGCAGAGAGAGGCTGCCCTCCACTGGATCTGCCCTTTAAAACACACTGACTGGAGTCTCCTCTACAACTTTTCCTAAACATTCTCCTGCTAAACTAGGTCATTGAGGAAGTTTGAGGTACTCTGAGGCTTGGGAATGAGTAAAAATACACGTTTACGTGCCACTGATTGTGTCTTTTCCTCTGTCTAGACTCCCTGTGAGGAAAAGCTAGCCATTCTCTGCAAACCACAGAGAGCCGTAGAAACACAACACTCCACCCTACAGCAGGAAATAACTCTATAATCTCCTCAAACAAACAGCAGAAGCTCGCCACCTTACAGCTCCAGTGCTGCAGAGACATATTTAGAAAAATTATATGACATACATAAACAGTAGTTCGCCAGTTACCGCAAAAAATGTCGCTCATTTTTAGTTAACAATGTAGGGCAGGCTGAGTGAACTGAACACAGACATGGAGACGATACAATTATGAAACTGTCCATGTCCCATGGCTCGAGGTTTTTGAATACTGTTTTTCATGTTATTTATGTTCAGACAGCTATTACATTTGTGTAAAAAAATGCTGAGCTGCACAGCCTTGTCTTAAAGTCTTAGTTTAGCCAAAAATGGAAATTATGTCATCGTTTACTCATCTTTTACTTGTTCAAAACCAGTTTGAGTGTCTTTTTTTCTGTTGAACACAAAAGTAGACACTTTGAAGAATGTTGAAAATCTGTAACCATTGACTATGGAAGTCAGTGGTTACAGGCCTTCAGCTTCAGAATATATATATATATATATATATATATATATATATATATATATATATATATATATATAGATGCAGAATAAATCAAATTTGTGAAAAAGAATATAACACACACGCACACATCTATATCTGTATGTATGTATGTTTATACATATACATACAGAACTACTTTCTTCTGCCATTTTTTCACATCTGCAGCTGACGACAGATCAGCAGAAACCATTGCTACTTAAACCAACGCCACTTTAAAGTATTAAATAATTCTCTAGCATAATGTCTAATGTAATGAAAAAACAGGTGATTTGCTAATTATAGGGCGGAACGGCATGAAAAGTCATCAGTCAGAGTTTTCCCAGTATTTGTCTGTTGCAATCGGGAGATCACAATAATTTTAATCGAAAAAGCCGAAGCTGCTCCAACACTACCAGATTACCGTTGTGTTGCAATAAGGAAAAACACTAAACACATATAGGCATTTCTTCTTCCTTTTTTTTTTTTTACTGAATTAGTCTGCAGTAATAAAAACAGGAGACTCCAACCAAAAAGTAACTCAGTGTTATATAAAGAGTGATCAACACATAATACATACATAACATTACTGAAATGCGAGTCCCCGTCTCACACTCAATATAATTACTATTGTATATGTAATGGAGGCCAGCTAGTAGGTGCTGTGCAGGTAAACCTCACTCCCCTGACCTCTAAAGGTGCTCTAGCGACAAATGCTAGAGGCCATGGTCTTTAGCCTCCTTGTTAGAGCACCCAACTGTCAATCGGATAGTCACCGGATCGTTACCAGCTCAGAGCAGGTTGGGTGATGTAGGATCGGTGGGGTTACTTATAAATACAGTTGTACAACATACAAAAAATCAAGATCGACTTAGTATGTCACTTTTCTGTTTAATAATGATTTGATCAGCTGCAGTTTGAAATTTGAGTTTTTCTCCTCTAAGGGCTTATAATGTGGTCTCAGTCGCCATGTTGTCGATGGACAATGTCACCTATCTTTGCTCTGCTCAATGACAGGCTGATGAATTTTTTAAGGGGGTTTAACAATAGAAAGAGGTTTGCAACCCTTTGAAGTTGAGTAAATAGTGAGTCAGTTTTCATGTTTGGGTGAAAACTATCCCTTTCAGTATTTAATATATACAATTATCAGTTTCTTTAGGTTTACGAAGTATTTTAATGTACATTATTTATATTTGTGATAGAAAAGAAATGTTTTCCAAGTAATTCCCTTTAATATTTAATTAAGTATAATTATGAGTTGACAAATAATGTAATTTAATTTTCATACAAAAAACGTAATTTCACTTTCAGAAATTGACCATTGGTCAAAATAATAAATGTTTGTTATTGATTTTTTTTAATGTGATTAAAAATGAGAGACATTCGACCAAACCCTTCTATAATTAAACAGTGGTTTTGTTGTTCTCTACAAATAAAGACAAACATGGCACAAACCTAACATATTTTATTAAAAAAAAAAAACTACAGATAATTAAAGTTTTGATATTTATAAAAACCTTTTTCAGTATTTTGCAAATACTATATAAATATAACAATAGAGCCATTCAGTCTTCAGTAAAACAAAAAAGAGCACAAACACACACAAAACCTTTGGAGATACACTGTTTATTCAGTATTTAGCATCAGTGTTGAGACTTGTCTAAAAAGCAACACCATCGACCAATGCAAGCATAAATAAACTTGAGTGCCAATTTGAGGCCAGCACTTCGACAGAGGAATGGAGAAACAGATGGAGATGACTGTTTTACAGCTGAAAAGTCGCAGAGGTCTGTGACATGGCGTTATAGAGGAACGTGTTGTTGAAAGGTACAAACTGGTGCGTGATGATTTTAATGGCCTCTTGAGCCGCTGATCCTGCAAAAACAAACAGACACTGGGCTTCATTACAACTGACATTATCATAAATGAATGAATTCAGGATATGAAGAAAGTCTTATATATAAAATCAATTACAAGCTAAAAAAAATACAATAATAATAAAAGTGAAAAGAAGTTTTTTAAAGACAGAGACATGAGCAAAGAAAGGGGAGAATCAAATAAAATAACTGACAGGTAATGAAAAGCTTTTTGATAGAGGACAACTATGATATTGTACTTAATATCCTTAAATATGTAAACACATTTGCACTATGAACACTTTCTTAATCACTCCATATCTCTTGAAAACATTGTGCAATTCAAATTGTGCTTCATTTAGGTGAGTGGGCTTAACAAGCCACCTGTAGAAACACTTTTTTTTCTTATGCACCTGACACTTCAGTTAAACTCCATCTTACAAGAACTCAATAATAAAAAGGATGATTACTATAAATGTACCACAATTATGTTGCACTGCTTACTTCAACCTTAAATAACTCCTTTGCACTATATTTAACCTTAAATACCTATTTTGCACAATATTCACCTTTAATACCTCTTTTGCACAACACTAAATGCTAAAGAGCACAGTGCATACTCTATGGCAGTGGTCACCAAACTTGTTCCTGGAGGGCCGGTGTCCTGCAGATTTTAGCTCCAACCCTAATCAAACACACATGAACAAGCTAATCAAGGTCTTACTAGGTATACTTGAATCATCCAGGCAGGTGTGTTGAGGCAAGTTGGAGCTAAACCCTGCAGGGACACCGGCCCTCCAGGACCGAGATTGGTGACCCCTGCTCTATGGTGAATCATTTGAGACACAACCACAATTTCGATTACTGTAATATTGTGGCTGGAGCAGCATCATATTTTTAGAACTTCCCTGATAGTCAGTGCAAAAAGTGTTAAAATGAAAGCGAAAATCGATAATTACACTTAAGTCTGTAAAGATGTAGTACAAAGAAACTTAAATGACTAATTGTGAACTTCAAAAATTGCAGTTTGGTAAGGGAGATTTGTGTTTTTAATAATCGTTTCATAATTAGGTAGAGATCTGCCTACACACACTTCTTATCAGCTGGGGTATTAGACATCAAATAGTTATAGGAACTCAGAGGGATGGTCCCCCAAACTACTACATTTTCCATATAGAGAATGTTACTTCAGAGCTTCACAAGAAAAAAAAAAATGACTGTAAGAGCAAAAAGATGCAAAAAATTTGCTATAACTACTTGTTACGCTACATATTATCGAGTCAAAAAAAAAGAACCCACTGTAAATACCCCAGAAATATTACTTTTATGGATGTTTATGTCTTGTTTTTAAAATATTGTGCTGCCAGTGTTTTATATGGCACTTGTTTGCCCAATCAATTACATCACCCTAAATACAATGCTGGGTTAGACCCAATTCTGATATAGGAGCTAATTTAGATCCCCCAATTGGTGTTCCTGGAACTAAAACCACTCCAAGTTCCTGCATTGAAAAGACCCCAAAATTGTGTACTTCTGCCAACAGGATGAATGAAAAGTTTCATCCACTGCAGGAAGCCCCTATTTTAAATTGATTCTGTGTCTTGTAGCTGTTTTGCATCTGATGGACACATCACAAATGTTAGGGGTACGGTGTAAGAAAATCAAAGTTATCATCAACTGATCTGAGTGCTAATATAGCTAGCATTAATTAATGTTCTCTTGATCTAAAATGAAAATTAAAGGAGCTTTTATCACAGAAACTCATAAATCACATCAAGGTTAGATGGAAATGAATAGAGTACGACAGGAAATGTTCAACCTGCTCTGTATATAATAGATAATAATGGTTTATAGAGCATCACTCAGTACCACATGGTGCTTAAGTGGTTGAATACAAAAAAAGAAAAAGCATTTACAACCTCAGTGAATAACGTCAGAGCTGTCCCTGAGCACCTCTGAATGCACCCTCTATTGATCTGATTACCACATGCACTCAAAATCAAAGCATCTTGGATGCATTTACACCCCACAATAATGTAGTCAAGTGCTTTCTGATTATTAAAAATGCAAACAATCATTTATATTTATTATATTTACATAAACTGTTCTTTTGTTTGAATATTTATGCACTTTGCAGATGCTTTTATCCAGAAGTGACTTGCAATGTATTAAGGATTAAATCATGTATTAAATGACCTTTGATTAATCAGCCAGTCTTAGAGTGGTACAAGGGCTGGGCGATTAATCGAAAAATAATCGAAATCGACATTCAGAACCTATAATTAATCTAATTTTTCCAGGTCAATTTCTTAAATTAACATAGACTAACCATGTTGCGTACACTTTTCGCTATTCAGCGCACTCAAACGACCACACCTCCATCATGGAAAGCCAGATAGGCATGTTTGTGTGATCATTCTCTGGATGAATATTGTAAAATCCAAATCTTGATTGATGTCTTTTGGACCAGTTGTTTTTGAGAAGGATGGGAAAAGTGTCGCCTACGCATGTGTACTGAAGATGATGGGTATTAGCGGCGTTCCGTTCACAATTAAAACAGTGTTCTGTACAGGGCAGAAATCTTAAATTCACTGGTAAAAATGCACATTGCTTTAAGTATTACTAAAAACCAACATCAGAATATACTATTATTGGGTTTATTTTGAAGTTAATGTTATATTTAATAGTCACACTTTATTTTGACTGTCTGTTTGTTGAATTAAGTTACATTGGATCAACATGCTAACTAATTCTCATTAGATTATAAGTAGACTGTTAGGTTAGGGTTAGTGTAAGTTGACATGAACTTGCAAAGTTTCTTATAGTCAGTTAAATGTCTGTTAAAGGAGCAGTATTAACAGATATTAAGCAGACAGTCTACTAATATTCAACTGGACCATCAAAATAAAGTGTTACCTTTTTAATAACTTTTTATGAAAGTTTGACATGATTTTTTTTACAATCATTTAATTGTTATATCATGTTTATTTTATTATAGCATGACAATTTAAAAATATTAAAACATTAAATTGATGCTGTTACACTCCTGGAATTTTGCGTGCGTGTGTCTCTTTCTCTAGCTCTTTCTTGTGTCTGTGCGCACCTGTTCTCTCTGTCTCTCTTTTCTCTCTTTCGGTTTTACAGGTTCAGCCCCCTTCAAATTGTTATTGGCTGTAGGAGTAGTCAATCATCATTATCTTCGGTGACGTGGTGGCTTCGGTGGCCAATCTGAGTGGTTGCCAGGGTTTTTAAAAGACGATGAGTAGGACGTTGGGAAGAGGCTTTTGCATTCCGTTTTGTGCTTTGTTTTAATCTGCCTCACGTTATTTCTTTGTTTTTGGGGGGTACTTAATATTGCTTTGTCAAAAGTTGTTCTTGCTATTTTTGTTTATCTTCACTAATATTCTTTTATTGTTAATTTGAAATTTTGCTGATATGCTTTGTGTTCCCCAGTGAATTTGGAGAGATAGATGTCACGTGACGTACATCCTTACATCAACTAGTAAACTTTAGAATCTTAAAAAATAAAAAAATAAAAAACAATTTTACTTTGTTATTTGTTGTTATCTATATTATTCTTCTTTATCATTACTATTTTCTGTTCATCTTTGATTTTTGTATAATAAATTCTCTTTTTGGCAGTATTTTTCTTGATGCATGGTTCTTCTTCTCCCATATTACACAAAACAATCACAATATAAATGGTATTTAGTTCAATCCCTAATTTAACATCACGAGGTTGTAACAGATGCAAATTGACGCTAATTTAAATGACCTTTAATGAATATAAACATCATCACTGCACAAAGATTATTCAAAACAGTGTTTGTCCCTCAGGCTCTCTCTGGTGGAGAGTTGCGCCATGCAATCATCCCTCTGACGTTTAAATATCCCCATTTCAAAGCATTTATTCAACCAAAGATCATTCATTTAACAATTTGTGATAATATAATATTCCTTTCTTAAAGACTATAATATTGTGTGATGCATAAATGACATGCAAATGCATATTGTCGTTGCTCTAAATGTCTCCTATGCAAAGCAACACTCACCCCTTTAGCTTGCCCACTGTCTATTTTCAAGTGCATTAGGTGGACATAGCAAACTTTCTGAATTTTATCAGAAACATTTGGTAGGAGTCTCTCTGATGTGTTTGGGGGTGAAAGATTGACAAATAAAGATTACACAGATATATAGCTTGTCTATGACCCGTAAGAATTTATGCAGACATTGGTGGTAAAATGTAATCTGTACAAAACACTATTGTGTACGGAACATGGTTAGTCTACGTTACTTTCCTAACCAAATGTGGAGCCATGTGGTCTGGTCTGGTGCAGCCTTCACACAGTCGCATAACTGTGCACCTCTCGAAAAAAAGGAACGACAGTATATGTCGCACGTTTGCACTACAATGACGATGATTGGAAGCTGCACCAGAGATGCGTTGAGATAGCATATTTTCCATTAAATTTAAATGATTACTTAAAATGTTTTTTTTTTTACAGAAGATTCAAGAAACGCACTGTTTAAAAATATTATTTACAGGATATACAAGAGTTATTTATTTAGAAGAGATGCTGCTTATTTTCTACTTTTGAAAACATTGAAACTAATTTTTTTTTCCAAAAGTGCAAGTAATTTATGTTTATGTTTATGTACTTTTGGCTTTAGGCAATGTGTGTTTTAATTTCGATTGTTTAAGGTTGATGTTTAATAAATAATCATGGATAGTAGATAGTGTGTGTTTCCTTCAGTTATTTTAGAATCAAGTAATGCACCCTTCATTCAAAAATCTTTCACTTGTGATTTATTGTACAAACCCTGTCAGTGAACTATGACGGCAATAAATAAATAAATAAATAAATAAAATAATCGTTTATTAATCATAATAAATGTTTAATTAATCAAGATTTTGATTTTAGGTCAAATCGCACAGCCCAAGAAGGTACACTTACTTTTTTGTTATTGCTTTCCTTGGGAATCAAACCCACACCTTTGGCATTTGTTAGTGAAATGCTCTACTACTTGAGCTATAGGAATTATACAAGGAATTCCAGCAATAAATATTTGATTTCTCATCCTTATAATATAAATTATAGTATGGGATGTGAAAGTACAGTGAGTGAATAAGCATGAACACTGACCTCCCAGAAAAGCTGCGACTGTGTGTGGCTCAGCAGCTCCATATCGGCAGCTGGAAGACATGAAAATAACATTTACACTTGTTATTTGACTATAAACAGAAGGAGCAGCAGAATGAGGGCCTCTTTATCATCAGTATTACAAAACTAATTCCAGTGTAAATATTTAGCTAGTACAGATTTAGGCCAAACAGGCTTAACTGTGAGCTTAAACTTACAACTCATGGATGTAGTCATCTTTTACATTGACGTTAAGACTGTACTCCTGCAGGAGACTGTTTACACACAGCTTCAGCTTGTTAATGTCTTCCTCCACCTGATAATTGTAGACACCTGAGAAAAAAAACAAAAAACGTCATACTCTAATATCAGTGTGACAGTTCATAAACACACCAGTGTATAAACGTTTTGTTCAAGGATAAGATATTAAGTCTGCCTGTCTCATGCTCAACAAAACTGCAACAGTACTTCAGTCAAGTGTCACATGTTCCTGCAGAAATCATTTGAATATACAGATTCTGAGGAAGAAACTGATACTCAGGAAACATTTTGTCATATTATCAATGTAGAAATAATGTGAATATATGTACAGTATAAGAGCTGTCAGAAGATAAGACTCTAAACACTGCATCAAAACAATAAACAGTTGCAGTATGTATTTGTTAGTGGTAAATTAATTGCATATTACAACTCAAATTAAGTAATTAACCTTAAAATGAAAATTTAAGTCATTGTTGTGTTTACATTTACAAAAAGTAGCTTTAGCGATCTTCATTAATTTTCCTTCGACTTTATTTCAGAGGTCGTCACAGTGGAATGAACCGCAAACTATTTCGGAATATGTTTTATGCAGACCTTCCACAATATATTATGCCCTTCCAGTTCAACCCAGTACTAGAAAACACCTACACACTCTCTCATTCACACACACATACACTACAGACAATCTAGTTAATTCAATTCCCCTATAGCGCAGGTCTTTGGACTTTGCGGCGCACACGGAGGAAACCCACGCGAACACGGGGGGAACATGCAAACTTCACACAGAAATGCCAACTGACCCAGCCAGGACTCAAATCAGCGACCTTCTTGCAGTGAGGCTAACCACTGAGCAACCGTGCTGCCACTAGAGAGCTTCATTTTGACTCAATTCATTAGTCAAACTTTGGGCTACAACAGCCATGTTTTATTTTCTTCAAAATAGGTATTTTGATATATTTACAGATCATTTATTGCAGCTGCTGTTATGGTCACACTTTACAATAAGATTGCATTAGTTAATGTATTTACTAATATGAACAAGCAATGAACATAGTGGAAATAAAGTTCTTCTGTAGTTTACGTAAACTATGATAAATAAATGCTGCACAAGTATTGTTCAATATTAATTATTGTAAAAAAATGCAGTAAGATTAGAAGCTTTATTGTAAAGTGTGACCAATGCTTTTTTTTTATACATTCCATAAATATATAGATTTTTTTTAATATTCTGCAAAAAATAAAAAATCAATAAAATCAATACAGGTTTGAAATGACACAAAAAATAATGAAATAATTTTCATTAATATTCAGGGGTGGTCAGTTAAATGTGCTTGTTTAAAAATGGAAACACAGAAAAACAGTAATAGCTGTGAAAACACAATTACTTGAAACCCTTTAAGAGATCTGTAATGACCAATAAGTGTCTGTTCTGATTACTCTGATTACTTCTGACCTGGGTAGCGGGAGTGTTGCTGATAGAAGCGGTCGACTGAGCGGAGCATAAGGTACAGAACCATCTCACTGTCTGGACTGTCCATACAGGATGCTATGGAGACACAAACAACAGCTTTAACACCACCCAAGCATGGATGTACACAACAATGAACCATCAGATTCCCTGTTAGTAAATCCATCTAAACAGTCCTGAACAGTGAGCATAACATTTACACGCTGAGATAAACCACAAGGCCGTAAAGAACACGTACTGATTTCATCTTTATTAAAAGTGTCCACACTGTACTCGTCAGCCAGAGACCTGCAGCGCACCACTCGGAGGAAAGCCGCGTTCTTACCTGTGGGACAACAAAACACCACACAACACAGGTATTAAACAAAGAGGTTTACAATACTGGATGTGGAGAAAACTACCAATGCTCAAAAATTGGAAAAATAATTACTCTTTTTATGTTTAACCATGAATATCATAAATGCAGTAAACAAATCTGGATATTAAAGAATTCAGATTCCATGATAGTGAACATGCACAATATTGTTATCGTTGGCATGTCAAAATATAGTAAATAATTATTTATTATTTCAAGTTTTTGAGTGCTTTTTAAGCTTATTCAAAGCGTATTTTCAGTGTTGTTCATAGCAGAGCTAAATGCTTGGTGCCTAAATTGGTAAATTAGCTTCATTAATCCGTTCTATTACACGCTAAAATATTGATTGAAAATTTGATGACTATGTTTAGGGTTATTGTACTCTAATAGTAAACGCATCGACTTCTCGACTATGGAACTCGCTTCCCCTGGACCAAAGGAGCAGTGACAGTCTTAACACTTTTAAATCTCGTCTTAAGACCCATCTTTTTAAAGGGCCAGGAAACCCCCCTGTTTCAGCAGGGTGGATTACGTGCACTGTAATCCTCACGCGAGTCCAGTTGCACTCTCATAGCAGGAATATGAAAACAAAACCTTCGATGCAGCAAATTATAAAAGCAATACTGACAACCTGCATCTCCAAACAATTCTTCCTCTTCCACTTGTTTTGGCAACACAACGTGGCGTCTCTCTCTGCCGTCTGAACACTGTACAGGTAAAAACGGTCTTCGAAGCTATCATGCATAATAATGAAGTTGTACCGCATACACAATAGAGCACGCTTATTGGTTTTAACAAAGTCTTTCTCATGAATGAATGCAGCACACTCAGAGACGTCACGATGCACATGCGGATACAGACAGCCAGTCTACACACTGGATTACACGTAAGGATCTAGTCGCTGTGATGCAGCTTAAAAAGTTAGTTTTAAATCGGAAGAACAAATTTGCTCGAAAAAACGCAAAAACAACCAAATTTCAATTTTTTTGTGAAATATATGTGTCCTAATAGTGTTTTTAACAATGTGGGACACATATTTGACTCTCAACAGCTCAAAAATTAGTTTTGGTGTTTCGTGACCATTAAAGCAGGCTTTCCTATGACTATCCTTTACCATGTTATTTTACACTTCGATGTGTTTATACTTCAACTCCTTTCATGTATTTAAAATTTTGTCTGCCATTGTTTCATTTTTTATTAATTGTTTTATTTTTTTGGTGTGTCTGTTGATGCTTATTTTAAGGTGACCTTGGGGGACAAGAAAGGTGCCATTTTTAAATAAAATGAACTATTATTATTATTATGATTATTATTATTATTATTATTACAAGTCTCCAATAGGTAACATTAGTTAATTTAACTAACCTCACTAAAATAAAAACTACAAAAGCTTTTATTAATCTTATGGCTGATAATATTTAAAATCATTGCAATATTTTGTTATTCTGTGATATATATTGTGATATGAATACAATTCCACCAGATGACTTAAATAAGTGAAGTTTTTCAAACTAATTTCGAGAGGAGCACGTGATATAATTGACTGCAGCTGGCCTCCCATCTACACTCATTAGTTAGCCAATCAGATTTATCGTAACTCACTATAAGTAGCTTAGCTAGATTTACTCCCTTATCTTCGTTTTCCGAAGAAACCCCCCATCCACCCCTTTCTCCTCCTTTTCTCCTTTATAAAAGGGGAGCTCTCGAGAACCACCTGATCTCGTACTCCCCTCACATGCTCTATAGACCTGGCGGGAGCCCTAGGCTCAACTATCTCAGAGCTCAGGGTTCTCTCCCGGGACAGCATGCTAAACCTGCTAACAGTTGTCAAGCAATATCTAAGTGTGAACTTTTAATTCTGTATGGAATGAATTGATAATTAGTTGATTAGTTGAGATGATCCTGTAAGTGTATCAGCATAAAACAATCTACAAGCCTAGAAGAATACAATAAAGAAAAAGATACGAATTAAATAAACAATTAATTGTATTGTTTCCTGGGACGTCTAACAAGTATGCAGATAGAGTAATTGAATAGTAAAATGTAAAATAATACTGTATAGTCTTTGTTGAATGAATAATTCAATAAAATGAATCCTAATTAAGGTTAATAAAGGTACAAATTACTTTGCCCGAATGCTTTAAAAAACCTTACACAGTCACAGGCCTCAAAAAATATTCAAATGATGAATTATAATCCAGAGTCAACATTGCAGATCCTACGATGTGACAACTGTAAATGATTACGTTGCGATATCGATGCCGTAACAATATATTGTGCAGCCCTAATCTTAGGTGATGCTAATTTCTGATTTAATTACTAATTATGTGTCGAAATCAGTCAAAATCTAATATGTTGTATTAAATGGAATTTAGAATTAATACTATTCATTTGTAATTTTAACTAATATTAACAAAGTAACTGTGATATATCTGTTTTTTTCTTACTGCTGATTTTAATCTATTATTTAACATTTACTAAAGATCCTTCATTGTAAATTGTTACCTATTGTACTTTATAATGCTTTAGCAATTTAGTTTGTTTCAAACATCTGTTTACTTTGAACATGTATATTTAATACATCAATAAACTATATATTTTTTGTTATTATACCTGTTAAAGTAGCATTTTTTGTACTTAATGTTCATATCGTGACAATACCGTGTATACGTGATAAATTAATTCAGCAATTAATCGCAACAAGAGAATTTGGGACCATCAAAGGCCAAGAATGCAAACAAGCATATCTGAATATACTCACAAAAGAGTTTGATTTCCTGTTCAGAGATGCTTTCTGGAGTCTTTGGATCAAGCAGAGAGTTCATATTATTAACGTTAATGTGCAAAAAAAGATCATAGCACAACAGTATGCTGATTATGTACAGTAAATACCTTTCCAACTGATTGTAGAAGCATTTCAACATGTTTGGACACAACTGCTGCATCCCTCATGGCTTTGTCTCTGTACCTGAAAGTGAAAATGTCAAATAAATGCTAGTTTTTACCATCAACAGGCAGTCTGATTACATAATTCAATACAGAAACCACCCCATCAGTACAGCTGTTGGTCACGATCAATAATTCTTAGTTAATGCTAGTGATGTTATGCTCTGTGTCAAGGCTTCAGAGTGTGTTTTAAGTAATCCTGAAAGCTTTACTAAAAGCACATATTGAAGCTTGTAATGGTTTGATGACGACCGAAATCTTGTTTTGCCGGACTGGTTTAGGAATCGGCTCTAATTTTGGCGCAACCATAGAGTGTGACATCCTCCGCTGAGTTACTCAAGCAAGCTGACTGCCATCTGCCCATTGAAAATCAGCCACAATCCTGTTTTAGAATAATATTATTGCCCCTTCCCTGACACACTTTATTTAGATTGGCCCCATTCAATTTGAGCTAATAAATGTATGACAGTTATGTCATACAATAATCATTCAGCACCAAAAAAAATTTAAATTAAATAGATTAGTTAATGGCTGCATCCGAAATTGCATACTTTGATACTATATAGTAAGTTAAAAACATTATGCAAGCCAAGTAGTACATTATGTCCAAATTCATTGTATCCATGATAGTATCCAGATGACCTACTAATACGAGATTCTGAAGTGCACATGCGATTGATGCTATGGTATCTCAAGATGCCTGCAAGAGAATTCATAAATGGGAGTAAAGCAATGCAACTGACACGGATAGGTCACGTGATAAGGTCAAATGATAATGTTTCCAAGTTTAACTCGTACTCACATTCATACTATATAGAATGTACTTTTCTGTAAACGTAGTACCGATTTTATTAGTAGGTGATTTCAGACACAGCCTGTGTAAACATCTCTTTCTTAATTATTTAGTTTAAGACTTAACATGTAAAATACAGTGGATCACATCAGGTCATCTGTAACACAGCTGCTAGTTTTAGACTTTTCGGCCACCATGTGGTAATGTGAGCAAATGAAGCCTTGAAAATGAACCTTTTTGTGAAACATATGGATAAAAAAGATTCAATGATTAGTAAGACTTCATCAGATCTTGCCATCACTAGTTAATTCTTGTAAGATGCAGGCTAAATTGCAGTGCATATTTGTAAGGAATGGGTTATTTTTTGGTTTTTCTCCTGTTGTGCTTAACAAACAATCAAATGAACAGAGAAGGGTCCCATGACCTTAAGGCAGGAGGGCCGATGTCCTGCATAGTTTACCTCCAACTTCCTTCAACACACCTCCCTGGAAGTTTCTAATACAGTTGGAACTAAAATATGCAGGACACCTGCCCTCCAGGATCGAGTTTGGATACCTTTGCCTTAAGGTTAACTTCACACCTTTCTCCAAATTTCGGGAGGTAAAATATTGACCCTTAAGCATGACCAAATGACCGGAGAAGGGTCTCATGACCTTAAGGTTAACTTTCTCCAAATTTCAGGAGGTAGAATATTGACTCTAGATAATCATGCCGACACTACAAACCTCAAATTTGTGCTTGGCAATCAGAAATAATGTGCACCTAGCGGAGAGAGAAGGTGGGCCTGATCTACTCACTCTTCTTTCTTACCTAATAGGCCGACTTTTGGCCAGCACCTAAATTATGACTATAAATATGACTATATAAGGTGAGGATTAAGCGTACATCGCCCAGCATTCTCGGACACACGTGTTGGTTTTCCAATGTGACTGCAACGAGCTACCCGGTCTTTGAAGTGGAAAATGATGACACGTCTCTGAGGTTGTATATACATATATCAAATAGCTTGGGGTTTCATTATGTGTCTTTTATTCATGTAATCCTTATTACCCATCTTTATTTAGCATTATTAGCCTTTTAAGCAATTTTGTTGTATTTCGATTAATAATGTTCATGAGTATGATTCATTATTATTGAATATTTTTATGATAACAGCAGTCTGTACCAGCAATAAACAGTTGTACTGCTTGATTAGCATGGTGTATGGACGTTTATTTGTGCCTTCTCTTGTAGATTAGCACCACACTTGTTTCACTTACATAAACACAAACCATGCTAAAACCTTTTTGGTATGCTGAAACATTTTACATACTAAAATTTGGGGCATACTAAAACAATATCAGACAAATACACAGTGTTCAGCATAATTGAGTACACCCCATTTTGAAAATTAATATTTTTTATCCATTTCTCAGTAAATATAAGCAAATATAAGCAAAATATTGCAAAAAAAAAAATACAACCTGCAAAATTTTAACTAAATTTTTTTCATTTTTTTTTTTACTTATATTTAATATTTTTTTATAACATTTAAATTTGGGTGTACTGGTTTTTGGACCGCTATCATAAATTATTGTTAGATAAGCTCCAGATTTGGCTTTGGTACTGACTAGTCTAATGTACATGCACAAATATAATACTGTATAGCTTCCTATCAAAAATATCAATTTAAAAGATAGATTTGTGAGGGGTCTACGCATATATGCTGAGCATTGTACTACTGAGAATTTTCAAATAGTGATGAAAAAGCTGAATACATACACATTTTGTAACTTGATGAATTTGTCTGAATCTGCAATCATGTCTGGGATGCTTCCTCGAACCGGGAGGTTTCCGTTCCCCTCATTTTGAACAAAGTCCCGAACTCCATGTGCCATCACCCAAAAGGACGAGCTCTATGATAAGACAATCAAAATGAAACTTTTCACAGATTCTGACAACCAATAGATTGAAAAAAAAACTAATTTATTCTGATTACAAAAAAGATTTGTCAACAAATAAAGGTGAAACTGACCCGTTAATAATTAATTATTATTATTAATTGATTTATTATTCTTAATAGTTAAAAACTAAAGTCAAATCAAAATAATCACAGGCAAGATAAGCAACACCACACATGATAAGCAGCCAACAAATTTGCAGTAATTGTGATGCTGCTGTCATGTCAATATTCAAGAATGATTTGAGTGACTATTTTAAATGTAAAATAAAGAAGTTCAGCAGTTCTGAGGGCAAATAGTGGTCAAACCCAGTGCTAGCATGATGCACCTAATAAACTGGCCAGTAAGAGTATATTGATCAGCCCTGGAAACCTGTCTTTGATTCAAATGTACAATATAAGTGGTCAAGTTGTGAAATATATCAATAAATGTATAAAGATAGAGCTTGAAAGTAGTTTTACATATTCATACTAACCTGTGAGGTAATGTTTTCACACTGCTCAGCATTAAAAATGTCCTGCGTTCCACTGGAGATCTACATAAACGCAGGACAAGTCTCAATACAGAATGTAAAGAACTATAATAATTATTATTTCTTTAAACTTGAGGGGCTCCAGTACCTTAGTGGGGTTTAGAGCAGTGTTCACGTTCTTGATCGCCTCCTCAAAGTTCTCTTCATCTTCAAGTCCTCCATTCTCATTCTTAAGGATCCCTGAGGAACGAAATAAATTACAGAAAGGCCAGAAAATTGATAAATTCCTAATGTGATGTATTATATTACCTTCTCTGAGGAGTTGCCTGAATGCTTCTTTCTCCTTATAATTCTTGGGCAACTGGGAGTTGTTCTGGATCAGAAAACACACACTTTGAGAAGGTCTGACATTCTGAAGATGTCATGATCAGAAGGGTCTCAAGAGTATGTCGTTACCTCATTGTACCACTTTTCCAAATATCTGGCAACCACAATGATCCACGGTGTGTGACTGTGATCCTACAACAGAGCAAAAACATATTGCATAACGAACTGCAATTGATTTAATTCACACTATCAAAACGGACACCGATAATAAACGCTCTGATATCAACTTTAATCTTACCTTCTTCTCCATGTTGTCCAAGTCGTAAGACTCTACATGGCGTTTGAGCTCTGTGAATGGCTGGTCTAGTCTCAGATCCTCCAAAACATTATCTGGATGAGACTCCACCACTACAGTCAGGGACACAAATAATGCAATTCTTGTACATTTGCAAATTTACTTAAAAGAAAGATTTATGGGTTGCCTAAACAGTACAATTAGACTAGTTTAGGCAAATTTCCACCGACATTAGTCAGTCTTTCATGAGCAAAACAAATATGGTCAAGTCAAGTTTAGCTTTAATATCATTTCACTACATTTGTGGACATGCAGTGGAATGAAATGTCGTGTCTCGCAGGACCACAGTGCTACATAAATAAACATAATCATAAATATTAGCACAAAACTGGACATAAGAGCCTTTTTACACCTATACATAACTAACATTCTGGAGCAGTAATCTAACTATCCTATATACAGTGTACTACTAACTATACAGTTGACGTCAGAATTGAATTTTTTTGTTGAATTTTTTTTTTGACAGTTGAATTTTTTTCTTCATTTTAAAATATTCTCCAAATGATGTTTAACGGAGAAAGGAAATTTTCACAGTATGTCTGACAATGTTTTTTTCTTGTGGACAAAAGTCAAATATTATTAATATTAATATTATTATTATTATCATTCTGGCAAAGATAAAATAAATCCATTATTAGAAATGAGTTAATACATCTATTATGTTTAGAAACATGTTGAGAAAATGTTCTCTCTGTTAAACAGAAATTGGGGGGGAAAAAATAAACAAACGGTCTAATAATTCAGGGGGGCTAATAATTCTGACTTCAACTGAACATATACCATAACTATTTAACTATACACAGGGCTCGAAATTAACCTTTTTGCTTGGTAGCACCGGTGCTCCTAACTTTACAAATTTAGGTGCATCAGCCAAAATTTAGTCGCACCCACCAATTATAAGCACTGATACTACAAGTTTTATACAGACATATTTATTGCATTTGAAATCAACAGTAATCATCAAACTAACACACAAAAAAAATATATATGCAAGTGTAAGGAAAATATGTCTTAACGAAATCCTGTTATCACAAGAAAATAGATTTTTATAACATAACTGAGTGACCAAAAGATACACGGACCGCTCACCGGCCCTGCACCCACTGCTTGACATGAGTAACTCTGTTAACCATATAACTGTGCTGTTCTCAAGGGTGCTGTCTGATATTGCACTGATGCTTTTGACATATACTGTACCTTATTATATGCATACGTCATGTTCATAGCAATACCGGTCTTTTCATGAGTAGCAATATTAGTTTACTCAGTGCAAGCCCGTTTGCGATGGTGTACGTGGTGTTAAATTTTACATAAAGCTGCCACTAATAGCTGCCAAGGCGGATAGCATCTGGCGATTAAATGAAGGATTAAACTGAACCTCTCGTGCTAGATGTGGCAAAGAGTTACCTGAAAATTCCATCCCACAGACGTTTCATAGCGGACTTGAAGCCAATTTAAGTATTTTTTCCACTCTTCGAAAAGTGTAGATCATGGATTTACATTCAGCACATGATCACTAGTAAGATTCATTATTTATTATTATTTTTTATTAATATTATTTTTTTAATGCATTATTTGTAACTTTAGATGCCATGGTTTCTAAAAACAAAATCTGTCAGTGTTATCTTGATTCTCATTTTCAGCGCCTTACAATTTTTCGCGGTAGTATCTCTCCCTGTCATCCCAAGCTAGAAGGCATTGACTGAGTGATTGACATGTGATATTTCAGTGCTAGAGCAGTGGTGGGTCAATAAAAAGTGCGCGAAGGCGGGGCAAGCATTACAGACTTGGCTTTGTTTACTGCAGCAAGTTGACAAGACGACTGTTTTAAACCATTTCTGAGCACTGCGTTTCGTGTTTTAAGTGCAGAGATGCATTCTGCGTGAATGTCTCCCAAATCTGCGCATGTGGTGAACATTTTGTAGTAAAAACTGGTCACACACAACAATTTTATGCACTCGCACAAATGCTCCCAAATATATTTTGAGGTCGCATAGATAAAATTTCGGCCCATATGCGAAAAAATGGTCGCAATTTCGAGCCCTGATACACATAACCTAAGACTAAGCAAGTACTTTTACATAAGACAGAACTATATTGTGCAAGATATTGTGCATAAGATGTATTTTAAGGTTGAAGAAAACAAATAGTGCAACATGATTTGTGGTGCATTCACAGGTAAACATTGCAATCTTTACTGATTTCTTGTAAGATGTAACGTGTCTGGAGAAGAGTGTTTCTAAGGATTTGTCAAGCCCACTCACCCACAAATCAACCATCCTGTTCCACTACTACTCATGTATTCTCTCAAAAATAATTTGGCTTTTAAAATGGCAATTACCTGTGTGCTCCTTTACAATCAGCCTCATGTAGCCAATAAGTCCATATGTTCGACATACAAGAAATGGCACTCCAGCCTCCCATAACACTGCACCGAGCCTCAAACATGTGCTGTCAAAATAAAACAAACAAACATAAGCTGATCTGATAAAAATAACATTCATAACTTATTAATTAATTGGTTCTAACTATGTAATCTAACATTTGTCTGTTTGGCAATGCATTTCAAACACACCCACAAAAATAATAAAGGAAAATATTTCCGGTTTGTGTTATAATACCTTTCTGGAAGCTGGACGGCAATTACCAGACTAAACCTGTGAAAAAACTCACAGTCGTTGTCCAATAGCTTATCAGGACTCTGATAAGAAGAAAAAAATAATAATTGGATGAAGAGATAAAAAAACACGCAAAAGTCTGGAACAATTTACTGAATTAATGTGACTCACAATCAGGAACAAAGGCTTATTAGTAATTTTTTTTTTCAAACAAACTTTCCACTGGACTCTTGTGCTGGCCTATAATTAAATATGCACCATTTGCTCATCAGGTAAAAAATGAACGAACCGCCCTCACTAAACCTCTAAAATAAAGACGCTAACTATAATTTAAATCCACAAATATTTTTGGCAGGAAGAAACAACCTCATCTTAATCACACACTCTGTGAATGTCTAGGATTTCCCTCACCTATGTGCCATATTTCATCAGTTATCAGCATTCATCAGCTTAATTTTGCAGTTTTTGTGAATTATTAGTCTTCATTGACACCTTTTAATACAACCTTGCTTTTCAAAACAATCCATTTCCTTAAAAAGTAAATTAAAAAATACCACTAATAATTCATTCATTCATTTTCAGCTTAGTTCCTTTATTAATCAGGGGTCGCCACAGCGGAATGAACTGCCAACTTATTCAGCATATGTTTTACGTAGCAGATGCCCTACCAGATGCAATCCAACACTGGGAAACACCCATACACTCTTGCACCACTAATAATGACACATATAATCTTTTGAGACCTTATTTCTTTCAAAGGCATGGCATTTTCTAAAACTACGAGCATTTTCATTTTAAGCTACAATCACCTAATAAGTCTTAACAATCTTAAAAAATCCAAAATGCATTGTTTTGATTTACCCGAGTTTACTTGAGTTTGTATTGTAATTAATTAAATAGAAAACTTTGCTGATAGAAATGTATAATATGTTTTGAAGACATGTAAACTGACCTCTTCCACAAAGTTTCCAGAAACATCACTGTTGAGCTCCTGGAGCAATTCCGTAGCCGCCTGTGCCCTGTTCTGAAAAAAAAGCCCAGTATCAATTACCATATGCCACATTAGGGTTGGATAGTTGGAAGTTTTTATCGACACTATACTTACTCTATACTTACCTTTCCAATAGCACTGCTGCTGAGAAAAAAGCTGCAGAAAATATTAAAGAATGCAATCAGGCATAATTATCAATTTATCATATTATATTTCCAAAAAAGATATACATCATCACGCCAACACATTTACTTGTTTCCAACATCCTCCCCTGAAACTTTGTGCCCGTCTACAATGGTAAAGGCTCCGATTCCTAAAAAAGGAGGAGTGAACATATAACATTAGCACAATAACCAATATGATTCACGTCTCAGTGCCAGGATTTGAGGTGTACAGTGAGATATATACAGTACCGGGCAGCACAAGGTTCTTGAGGATTTCAGTGCCAGATGCAGTGGCATTGATGAGACACACATGGGCATTTTCAAGTGCTTCCTGTCCATGATCTCCCCACAACCTGATACAAACACATCTCAATCACTCAATGACCAGTCAATAACCACATTGAGATAAAGTTGGTTTTATATTCAAACTCACACACTCTCCTTAATAATATCATTTCACAAAAGTAATCTTTGCAAACTCTAAATAGTGAAATTATACTAGCAGCCAATGAATATTAAATTTCAACATTGTTCACAGTCAAATAAAATGTGCTAATGTTGTTTTCAAGTCATACTTGCATGTGATTTCATATTGAATTTTCAAAGTACCAAGGTAAACAATATAGCGAACATGTCACAAGTTATCACTGACCAAATGTGCAAATACAAAACCAACTTTACTTCAATAATAACCATTATATAAAAATCTGTTAAATACAGAGAGGAAGGCAGCCTAAATAGCATTACATCGTCAAATAAATGTGACCCTCGACTAAAATCTTATGTTTTATGTTGCACAGGTATATTTGGCAAATGATAAAATAAATAAAATAATTAGCTAAGGGTCAAAATTATTGATTTTCCCAAAAATCTTAATATTAGGTAAAGAACATGTTCAGTGAAGATATTTAGCACATTTCCTATTGTAAATATATCAAAACTCTGTTTTTGATTAGTGATATGCAATACTAAGCACTAGATTTTAATTAAGACTCCAGATGTTCAAGTATTTGTGTCTCGGCCAAATGTTGTCCCATCATAACAAAGTATATTGACGTAGCTAAATAAATCTAAACAAGAGCAATTCCGTGCAAATGTCAAACTTAAGTTTTTACTAAAATAGCGAAACCGTTTCTGGGTTTTTGGTGTAAGTATTTTACAGTACTTTAGAAATACCCCAAATTGCATCTGTCAATGTTTTTAAACTATTCTATTTGATTTACCAAAGTCACACAAGAGGCAATTTAACATCTGTCACATCCATAAAAGAGAGAAGTCACATAACGACACTTAAATGTGAAAATATTACATAAAATAAAATTTTCATTTTTTGTTTTATTACCCTTTGGATTAGCATAGTTTCTTTTGGATTGAGAAGTAATTCACATAATTTATACAAAGCACGATGTATACTATAAACCCGCAGACTTTTTTTTGTCACATCCATAAGGCATGTTTCCTCATTTTAAATAGGCTTTAAAGCATGTTTACATATTGATATTTTTCTAGTCCCTTAACTCTGTGGTCATTTGTTCTGGAAAATCTAAACAAAAGTTTCAATTTAATTTTAACATTTGCTTTCTGGCGAGGCAGTGGCGCTGTCGCACGCTCAGTTGGCGTTTCTGTGTGGAGTTTGCATGTTCTCCCTGCCTTCGCGTGGGTTTCCTCCGGGTGCTCCGGTTTCCCCCACAGTCCAAAGACATGCGGTACAGGTGAATTGGGTAGGCTAAATTGTCAGTAGTGTATGAGTGTGTGTGGGGAAATTTCCCAGAGATGGGTTGCGGCTGGAAGGGCATCCGCTGCTTAAAAACTTGCTGGATAAGTTGGCGGTTCATTCCGCTGTGGCGACCCCCGATTAATAAAAGGAATTTACTTTCTATGCGAATTTATGTTTTGAGTTTTTACTGCAAATGTCACATCCATAACGCGTGAAATGCTCATAAACAAATCTGAAATATATCAAGTGTTTTCAGATCTGCTACTTTAACGTTAACGTTACTTGACGGGCCAGGCGAGAAGTCTGATTAATTCTGTCGTTGCTGTTTAAATTAAACAATGATGAATTTGACGAGATAATTAAAGCTCTTGCAGTGACCGATGGGCCTCTGTACATTTGCGTTAATGCAATAGGAAAACTTTACCGCTGAAGCAGAATAATTGGTCGTGCGAACCCGATTATTATGTGATTTTCGAACACACAAATGATACATACCTGAGCTGTCGATCATACTTCTGCTCTTTGCTTGTTTTGGGGTCTGTCATGGTCCTCTGTCTCTCTCTCTGTGACGGCTGAATCCTACCGGCGCGCCACTGTTTCACTATTTTCCGATCGACGGTCGCAGATTCGTTGCAGACAGACTTGATGCTCCACTTTCGGGTGACCGCGAGATGGAGGCAGCGAGCAGCTTGAACAATAGTGATTTGCAGCTCTGCATTGACACTTGGAGTATATGCATTCTAAAGTGGATAGTTCACGCAATAAAGTAATTTTGTTATCATTTAGGCTACTCACTCTTGACTTGCTCGAGGATCCAGTTAGAATTTTTGAACTTTTTGAAGTTTTTGAGCATTTAAAGTGGATGGAACAAGTTTTTTAAATTTGCCCTTAGACAAGAATGGGTGTTATTCTATAATTTTAGGACAACTTTGATGAAAGTTGATGATCCACTTCAAATGTTGACTTCTATATGTTCTATATATGTCAGAAACATAAACCATTTATATACCAGAAACAAATATGTCCCATACATGTCAGAAACATACTGTTTATGTCCTATGACAGAAACATGTCCACTTATATGTCACAAAAATGTCCCACATATGTCAAAAACGTATATGTCCCCTATATGTATAGCACATACATGTAACATATATGCCAAAAACATATATGTCCACATATATGCCAGAAACATGAATGGTCATATCATCATGGCAAAGATAAAATAAATCAGTTATCAGAAATGAGGTATTAAAACTATTATGTTTAGAAATGTGTTGAAGAAATCTTCTCTCCGTTAAACAGAAATTGGTGAAAAAATAAACAGTGGGCTAATAATTCAGACTTAAACTGTATGTCCCATATATTTCTGAATCATATATATCCACATATATGCCAAAAACATATAAGTCCCATCTATGCATAACACATTAATGTCCACATATATGCCAGAAACACAAAAGTCCCATTTATGTCACAAACATATTTGTCCATATATGTAAACCACATATATGTCTAATAGGTGCCAGAAACATACAAGTCCCCTAAATGTATAACACATATATGTCCGATATTTGTAAGAAACATATATGTACACATATATGCCAGAAACATATTTGTCATTTATGCATAACATATGTCCACATATACGCCAGAAACATATATGTCACAAAACATATTTGTCCACATATATGCCAAAAAGGTATGCAACCCTTATGTGTATGACAAATAAATGTCCCAAATATTTCATAAACATATATGTATCCATATTTATCTCCCATAAACGTCAGATTCATATGTCCCTTATATTTCAGAATGATATAGGTCAAGATATATGTCAGAATCATATATGTCAGAAAGATATATTTCCACATATATGCCAGAAACACATAGGGGAAAATGGGGTAATGTGAGACACCCCTTGAATCTAGACAACGGATTTTATATACCACTCTATAACAATTTTGTTTTCAAGCCCCTTCCATTTCCCCTTGACCATGAAGGTCAGGAACTTATGGTGCCGTGAAAAGCATGTTTTTTTCACAAAATAAGTTTTTTTGCATATAAAACTAAATTTTCTTACAGCCAACTTAATCAACTTTGATTAAAATTTTAAAAAATTGATTAAAAAAACTTATATCATACATGTTGATGAACTATCAAGATATAAAACCATGTGATGATGCTAGAAGATTAGCATGAACTGCTACAAAATATCATTTTTTTTCTAAAATGTGGCAGTGGGGTAAAGTGAGGCATGATGAACAACTTAAATTTAGTCTACCAGACTGCAGGACTTGTGAATGAGGCCTTTATGTCAGCAGTGACACCACACCATTCAATTCAATTCAATTCAATTCAATTCAATTCAATTCAATTCAATTCAATTCAATTCAATTCAATTCAATTCAATTTAATTCAATTCAATTCAATTCAATTCAATTCAATTCAATTCAGCTTTATTTGTATAGCGCTTTTACAATGTAGATTGTGTCAAAGCAGCTTCACATAAATGGTCATAGTAATTGGAACAGAGTAGTTCAGATTTCAGAGTTTAAGTTCGGTTCAGTTTAGCTCAGTTCAGTGTGGTTTAAAATCATTACTGAGAGTCTGAAGAGCAAATTCATCGATGGGTAGCTCTGCCGATCCTAAACCATGCAAGCTAGTGGGGACAGCAGAGAGGGAAAAAAAACTTCACCGAGGCGAGTGAAGAAAAAAAAAACCTTGAGAGAAACCAGACTCAGTTGGGCACGACCATTTAATTTCTCCGCTGGCCAAAAGTCTTGTGCAGAGCTGCAGTCTCAGCGGTGGAGGCTGGAAGCTGGCCTCAGTGAAGACTCGTCTGTCCCTGGAGCGTCACTGAAATCAGTCTCATGTTCTCCACTCCTCCATGACCGGCGCAGCAGCTGCTCAGGATACGGCCTGGTCCCGGAAATGGAAACCTTGGGATCATCACGTCGCTGGTCTTGGATCCAATCAATGACTCCACATAATCTGAGGACCTCGGGATGAGTATCCCCAGGTGAAAATGGAGAATAAAGAGAATAATTAGCATAGCTGCTGTTCATAGTGTATATGAGCAAGATGCAGAAACTTGTGTGGAAACCCGCTAAGTGATGCATTGAGTGTATGCTTTACTAAACAGATAGGTCTTTAATCTAGTTTTGAACTAAGAGAGTGTGTCTGAGCCTCGGATGTTATCAGGATGGCTATTCCAGAGTTTAGAAGCCATAAAGGAGAAGGCTCAACCTCCTTTACTCGACTTTGCTATTCTAGGTACTACCAGAAGCCCTGAGTTTTGAGATCTTAAAGAGTGAGTTGGATTGTAGCGAGACAGAAGGTTGGTTAGATAAACAGAGCTAGATTATTTAAAGCTTTATAGGTGAGAAGTAATATTTAAAATTCAATACGAAACTTAACAGGCAGCCAGTGTAAGGAGAATAAAGTAGGGGTCATCCCTTCTAGATTAAGTCCACTGTTTTTTTTTTTTTTTTTTCCTGTATAACCGTTTTCTTGATGATGCATTTGCACCATCCATGGATTCAGACTGGCCAAACCCTAAGCTCGAGCCTGCCACTGCAGAACATTTGGATGGTCCACCCCCTGCAGATGACCCAACTGCAGATAGTTCACTTACTCATGTTAATCCAGTCATTGTGCATGGTCTACATGGATGTTCCATGTGTTTTCAGCCAAACTGGATAAGTGTCTCCTATGAAATTCTACCAGTTCTCAAATGTCCCCAGAACACAATCCAAATGAAAGTGTGTGAAGACAGCCATCCTAACTGATACTCCTGAGAAGCAGACAATTGAAAAGGCTAATACTGTAAAGCAAGACAAAAGAAACTAGCAGGGGAAAAGCAAACGAATAGCCAATACAAGGAAAAATATAATAAGAATGCAATACAAAAGAAAATCATAGTAAGCAGTTCTGAGAAAAGCGATTCTGTACAGTGTTCCCAAAATCAGAGGGGATTAATAGTTTGATATTAATTGTGTAGAACTATATAAATCTAACCGTAAGTCTAAACTTAAAGTTAACTGTAAACGTATCCCTTAATTCTATTTGGCTAAATGGAATGCTGTTCCAGGATCAACATAGATGTTAATCTAGGAACATGTCCTACTTGGTGAAATTAGGTTAAATTCAGGGAAACATAAAAGAGTGAGAGTTGTAGAGTATGACAGTAGGCTGATGTTCTAATCCAGGTGGGTGTAGTCATGTTTTCTGTGTCCTAAGCTGTACTATCTGGTTCTGATTGTCCTTTTCTCTGACCCCCACACACTATGGCAGACTCTAAGGGTCCTGTGTTCTGACACCCAGATTGTCCTTTAATCCAGGAGTTCCCAAACTTTTAAGCCTGCGACCCCCAAAATGACAATGCCAGTGACTCGCGACCCTCAATATCCTCTGAGGTGGTTATAAATACTGAAACCAAAGTAAATGCAAAGGCGCACACACACCAATAGACCCAAGTCTATTCTTCGCTTATTTTTTTAAATTTTTTGTACGTCAGTGCTGTAAATGGGCGAGAAAGTGTAACCTGGTGTTATAAAATCAATCTGCTGCATATGATGGTGTCATTTGGTGATGGTGTCTTTAACATAATTTTATTACCCCAGAGGTCGCAATCCAATAGAACTAGTAACTTTAAGCTTCTATAGTAAATTTAGTACATAGTAACTAAGAAAACAACAAATTATTTCTCTTCAGTAGGTAATGGATAAAATATGGCAATTCTTATGGTTTAATAAAAATAAATTGATTTTTGGAAATCACCAGACGACCCCTCTTCATTGTCCCGTGACCCCTCGAGGGGTCCCAACCCCACTTTGAGAGCCACTGCTTAATCTAACTGGTTCTATCTGTCATTAGAATGTTGTTTAAAACATTTTGAATTAGATTACTGTTTTTGATTTTGTTCAGAGTTACTTTCAAGTGTTTAAAAAAAAAATTTATATTTTGATTTGGTCAAAGTTAATTGACCAATCTCCAATCCATAAATGACTAGTCCAACATTAGTTCTGAAATGTGTGGTTGTCAAGCTAGCTGTCAGGATTCAGACTCTTACAACATGCATTGTTATGGTAGTTTCAAAGTGAAAAAAAGTGAGTGGATCAGTTTACCCCCGGCTGGTTCACTGTACCCCTTTGATTTCTCTGGTCTGTCTCAGTTTACCCCGACACTGGCGTAAAATGAGACACAAGACAACTTTTTTTAAAACAATCATATTTTTACAGACCTTTATCCTAAATACAGGCTGATGAATTCCATTGCCAGGAAACATTCTGAATTATTGAGAAACATATAAATTTTACTGATATATAATATTAGCTTACTTGGAGGGGAGCAAATGTAAAGTCTCACTTTACCCCACTACCCCCTATGTCCCATATATGTCTAACAAATATATGTTACGTATCACAAATAAATGTCCCAAATGTGTCAGAAACATAAATGCCCACTGCCAGAAACATATAGCGGTCAACATTTGAAGTGGATGAAAACCTTTATTTTAAACCCAAATTCGCCCTAAAACTATTGAGCAACACCATTCTTGTCTTGGGACAATTTTGAAAAACGTCTTTAATCCACGTCAAATGTTGACTAATATATATGTCCCATGTATGTCAGAATCATATATGTCCCATATGTAACACATATGTCTGTCTCTCTCTATATACATATATAGACAGACAGACAGACAGAGAGACATTTAGTGGAAATGTTGTCTGACAGTAGTTCAGCTCCAGCTCTGCTGAAGTGCAGACCATCAGCACAGAAAAGCGAATGCTCCCAAAAAAACATTCCAGTTATGAGCAAAGAACAGCTTCTGTTCTCCACAATATGTTAATAGCCATTTCTACTGTATAACACATTTTTGTCTCCACGTGCACAGGTAGAGCTCAACCAGTGCAGAACACATGCCCTTTTTGTAATTACACTCGGAAGTGACTTTTTTGGAGGGATTTTTTTTTTTTAGATAAATCAATGCTATTAATAACACTTTACGTTTGCTTGTCTTTTAAACAAATATATAACAAATTAAAGGCATTAAAAAGCGCATACTGTCAGTCAAACTTCACAATTTCACCCCCCTGAGCGCCGTGAACTTACGTTTCAGAACATCAGTCAGTCGCATGGTGGCAGAGAAAAAATAACACTGGGCACCTTCATGACAGCTTTTTGCCTGAGGATATCCACCTCCTCAGTGTCAATCTGGAAACAAACAAACAAAACAAAAAAAGATTGTAAAGTCCAGTACAGATGCAGTGGGGAATGCAGGATAGTTTGACTGCAGTTCAACAAATGTGCAATATATTGTAAATGATCTTATTTTTTAAATATGTGTAAAAAACAGAGGACAACCTTACTGGCCATTCTGGTTTCATTTATTTGCCTTTATTGTCAATTTATTGTTCTGCACTGACAGCTCAATAACTGTGCTGCATGATTTGTTCCCAAACTGTTGTTTGGTTCTGAAATCTAGCAGCTTGTGTTTCATGTTGCTTTATTTTTGTCTTATTCATTTTGTAAATTACAGTTCTAGTTGAGCTAGGTGTCTCAGACAGCAGCTTTGACCCAAACACGTTAATTTTATTGCATCACATTGCACCATTGTTTTTTGTAGTAACACTAGCTGTTAAAGCAGCCAGTAAATGTCTCATCACAGTTTTGCTAGTGTTACATGTTTTGTTGCTGTCACAGCTGTTTTTACACACAGCTAATTTACTATTCTGACAAAGTATGACTTCATTGCTCACTACAATATGTTATTTGACTGGAAAAAAGTGTCTTGCAGCAGTATTGCAACAACCCACAATCACTAATCGCTTGTCGGTGTAAATAGTTTAAATATTGCAAAATGACTAAAAATAAAAACCAAATTGAATAAAGGAACAGCTTAAAAAGGGTAACAGACTATTTTTTTGGCAGATTCAGGAAGTCTAAAAATTGTAGGATGCAATGATGATACATGGCTTAAACTTTTAATTTTAGTCTTTGCCTTCAACTAATGCACAAAAAATATATAATAAAATAAATCTCAAAGGAATAGTTTACCCAAAAATGAAAATTACCCCATAGTTTACTCACCCTCAGACCGTCCTCAGTATTTGGCATTCTTCTTTCAGATGAAATTAGTTAAAGTAGTTTAAAAAACAAAAAATAAAATAAAATAAAACAATTCCATGCTGTATAATGATGTTGTGTAGGGGCTCTTTTGAGCTTTCCAAAAGTGCAAAATTCTGTCATAAATTTAATTCATACACTGCCAAGGGGTTAGCGAATGTCTATGAAGTGGATCAATGTGCTTTTGTTTAAGAAATACGTGTCATTTTAAAATTATAAACTCAAATCACAGACTTCTGAAAGCACAGAATCTCAACAACTCAACAACAATCTTAATAACTTCTTGACTGACTTCTGACTTGGTATATGAGATGTTTGTAGCAGAAGCTGTTGAATAAATGTGTCTCACAGGGACCACTACACAGAAGACACAATAAAGAAGAAAGTTTTAAATTTTCAATTTGTTATTGGCGTTTAGACATCTTTATTCATCTATATTCTATGAGCTTTTTACTGATGTATACTTCATTATGATATGATAGCATGTGGATGAGACGCAAATATCTGAAATCTGAGGGTTCAAAAAAAAAAAAAAAAAACTGAAAAAAGTCACCAATAAATATTCAAAATAAATGGAGATATATTTGAACATAGACTATACCAGCTTCATGCATAGTAAACTTGGGGTTTTTATCCAATTAATTAAGATTTGCCCCAGATTACAGAGCTTTGATGTCAGACAACTTAATTTTTAAAGTGCCACAGGTAAGTGTCTCAAGCAGACATCTTTAAACAGATAGGTATCCTGAACAATACAATGACCCAGTTGAAAGGTTTGATTCAGAAAACGTGTTACTCATGACAGATTCACTGGAAGAGGTGATTTATGAGGGTCCCTTAGGCTTATTGCTTTTGTGCATCCCAAAAACTAAATAGGTGGCTTACTACAAACATTATTTTTAAATTAATACATTGTTTAAATTGCAATTTTTTTTGTTAACACTGATTCATAGCAAAAAGTCATAGCTAATATAAATGATAACGTTCATCAGAGATTTTCTTATATTGTGACAAATGTAAATATAATTGGTGCTTTCTGCTTGCTCTCATTTTGCTAGTTTTCAGCATCTTACAAATTAGGCTATATACCAGTGTTTAGAAAGAGTATTCTATTTTGGTAATGATCGTTTTGTTGATATTGACCAAGCCTGTGTTTCTAATTTTACTAGGCCTATACTTTTCCCTCTTTCTTCTACTATCCTCCTCCTCCTCCTCCTTTGTACTCATTTCATTGACATATGGGGATTTTATCAGTTCTCAAGTCTCATTACATAATAATAAAAAATATGTTTTGTTTTTTTTCATTTGATAGCAAAACACTACCAAAATAACCTATTCAAAATATCTACATCAATATCCCTGCTTACACCTAGCTACATGAGTAGACTCAATGATGCTCTTTCTTTCAGTGGATTTCACCAGGTGAAAAAAACTCGTTCATTTGCAATCTATAGTTAAAATAAGAAGACTGATAAGTATCCAAATGAAGACAGAAGTCTTCGACAGCGCAATCGGCTTTAGAGGAGGCGGAGCCTGAGCGGATCAGCTCATCTGTCAATCATCGCTCTTCCTTCACCTGTGTTACCGCTGTCAGTATATTCAACCCGCCAACACAAACACACACGCACACACATTTCTCCACACACTCCTCCACACACTCCTCACTTGCGCTCTTTCGACATCTCACACGCTGCTCAGAGAAGAGGAGCAATGACTGGCCATCACTGGGGATACGGAGAGGACAACGGTAAGTGTGCCAATTTAATAACCTCCGAATCCACATCTCCGAGTTTACTAGAAGCCATTAAACTAAAGTCGTTGTGTAAATCAGTTTGACCACCGCAGAACACCGTATCTGGTGAACTTTTGCATGTGGTACTCTGCACATATTTTAAAGATTTTTTTTGTCCTAAAGCCTGGAAACAGTTATCAAAAATAACATTGTTGAAGCGAGTTAAGATAAAATAAAATGGGAGGAAAAAAAGTCTTGCAATTTATAAAATGAGTCATATTGTGGCAACAATATTTATGTAATACAATTTAAAAATATGCATTAGGAATGTTGGACTACAATTTTATGATTTAAGCATTGCACAGCTTATCATTTTAGTTGATGAAGTAGCCATGCAGGCTAGGCTAAGTACATCTCAAAAAAAAAAAAAAGTTTATGACAACATGTTTCTACCGGTTAGATGCAGTAAAAAAACAAAACATCAACACAAAAACTATTCTTACTGGCTATTTTTTGCCCTGAATTCTGAAGCTTTTGTTTTCTACATTTAAGTAATTTTTTTGTGTGTTTGTGCTTTGAATTTATTCTATCTGGCTGATGTATCATGTGTTGTTGAAATTGAGGTAGTTCTTCGCACATTCAGTCTTTCTCATGAATAATATAATCTCAGAAAAGTATTCATTAAAAATTCTAAATAGTGAAATCAACAGCAACCATCAAAGTACAACAGTACTGTTCACAGAAAATGAAAGAGTGCTGCTAATGTTGTTTTGAAGTCATTCTTGCATGTGATTTTAGTCGGAATATTTAAAGTACCATGGCAAACAATGTATGGAGCTATCACTGAAAGAATGTGCAAATATAAAACCGATTTTACCTCATTGTTGTTGAATGCTCCCTTCCTTCTTGGGTTGTACAATCTTCAATATAACAACAACAACATTATATGAGGAGTTCAGATGCAAAAACCTCTAAGTGCCATCTAGAATTTATTTTTCTACAATGAGCATTTTTTTTTTCTCTGCTTTTTATGTTCATATTCAGTTATTTCATGTTAACAATGCCGAAAATAACCTATTCTTTACCATTAAAGTGAAAGGACTAAATCAAGACATAGAAGTCTGAGAAAAATGCAAATCTTTGAAGAAAATTGCATCTGAACTTCATATATACACCATAAAGATAATAGTTTTTCTTCTCTTTAGAAAGATGTACCTCTATGACGGGATTTATTTGACTGCTTGAGCAGACCATCCTTCACCACCCCTAACTGTCAGACTGTGAGCTAGATATGGTGTGCTAAAATCATGTCCCATCTTCAAGTACTGTTTGTCAAAACTGTCATAGCACACAAGACTTTACTGTTTTGACAGTTCTTGAAGGCAGGACTTGATTTTAGAGATATGCAAATTCTTGTTCACTAAAACTTGAAAGTGTGTTTTTATTGTTATGTTCAAGAACAGAGAGACAGATTCTACTAGATAGACCAGCAGCTGTTTTATGTTTATATGTTTGTTCAGTCATCCATTTATGTGCCTAGTCATCTGTCCTTAGATTTAGTGTAACATTTGGCTGCCCAATCTATTGTTAATGCGGGATTAGCCCAGTGATCTTCTAAAGAGATCGTTTGCTGCTTAAACATAACAGGCTGGAAGAGATGTTAAGACAATACAGTTCACTGACACAAACATTGGAAGACAAAGTTGTTTGGACACACTCAACAATATAAAACATGTCATCTCTGTAACTTGTTTATGCAAGCTTAAAAAATTATTAACCATTAACAACAACAGACATTCCTAGCATAAAATCTATGCCATATTAGAAGATATAAAATAAATTAAATTGTTTTAATAATCATTCACTGTTTAGTTTTAGATTTTGTTTGGAATTATTAATAATAATTATTAATCATATTTTCCCTCAAAGTAGATAGATAGATAGATAGATAGATAGATAGATAGATAGATAGATAGATAGATAGATAGATAGATAGATAGATAGATAGATTTTTTGCAGGCACAATCTCAGCAAATGTTACATTTAATGTAAGAAATTCAATTTAATTTTACCATTGTTGTCAAATTGAATAGAAATTATAAAAACTAAAAGTCCCATAGAAAAAGTCAAACATATAACATCTTAATATAAATAGTGATAAGACCCATATGCATACATATCTTCTAATCACTGAGCTCAATTTTAATGTCCATTTGTGTTTGTGTGTGTTTGTGTGTGTTTGTGTGTGTTTGTGTGTGTTTGTGTGTGTGTGTGTGTGTGTGTGTGTGTGTGTGTGTGTGTGTGTGTGTGTGTGTGTGTGTGTGTGTGTGTGTGTTTTTTTTAGGTCCATCGGCATGGCACAAAGATTATCCCATAGCTGAGGGGAATCGCCAGTCACCGATTGATATAGTCCCTTCAGAAGCTGTGTTTGATGCCAAACTGTCTCCAATCTCACTGTCTTACAACAACTGCACCTCTCTCAGCATATCTAACAATGGCCATTCAGTGGTGGTGGAGTTTGTTGACACCGATGAGAGATCAGGTTAGTTTCAGTGGCATGACAATATTACTGCTTTAGATCTGTTAGGTGAACGACACAGCTTGGTTTAGTTCTCCTTGCTCATTTCCTCTCATTAAATCTCTCATTTCATGCAAGGTCACTGTGAGTTTTGTGTGTGTGATCGAAATGTTAATTTTCCTCAAAAGACCCTTGACTAGCTGCAGTGTAAAAAATATTGCTGCCTTTTTTTTTTTTTTGGGGTTGAAGCTTTATTGTTGGCTACACTTCATCAGTCAAACTGACTAAAAATATATACAGTTAAACTTTCTGTACCTTTAACAATTTAGTTAAAACCTGATCAGCTTCTTAAAAAAAGTTAAAGCAACATACATGTTTGTTGTCTTGACTTTTTGTCATTACGTTTTGTTTTGTTTTTACAGAGTGAAGATTGTAGCAACACATGAATGATTTGGAAAAAAAATAATGTATGAATAAAGCCATTTGAGTGTACATTATTTTACTATTGATGAAGTGACATGTCCTCAATATGATTTCACAGGTCAGAATTTGCGAAACAGCAAAATTATTTGCATTTCTTCTGGTATTCCACATTTGCATGTGTTTTAAATTGATGATAAGTAATCTGTGAGAAATACATCTAGAAATAACTGAGAAAATGAGATCAGAGTGTGAAAAAAAGGATAGAGACAGACCCTCGTCTCCAGTGCTATCAGACAGATTTTTTTGTGTGTGTTTTTACATCGTGTTACGTGCAGTGTTGGAGACAGCTACACATTAGAGAAAAGAATAGCTCAACTACAGTCAAACTGCACTTCTAAATATAGTTATCTACACTACAAATTACTTCTTAAAAGTAGCTAGTTACATTGAAATTACTTTTTTCAAAGACATTTATTACAAAAATGTGAAGATTTTAAGTAAAATATTTGGGATTTAAAACGGAAAGTGTAATAAAATTATACAATGTCAATGCTCAGTGGCTTATTACGGTTTTTAACTATCAGACTGTCAAGAGTCAAAGTACAACACTGCAACTAATGTAGCTAGTTAAAGTAATTAACTTAGATTGAGCACATGGTACTATCTAAAAAAAAAGTTCTCCCTTCAGGTTACTTGCCAACTGATTGAATTTCAAGTGCAGTTACTGTGCTGTAATGATGCTGTGCTGCTTCGTACCATCACAGGTTACCATCACTAAATGTACTAAGCAAGCCACTCTGCTACCGGCTGGAAAAAGCACAAGACATTGTATGATAAGAACCTGCATTAATGTCGGGCTAAGTAAAAAATGTAGCTGAGTAACTTGTAGAAACTGTATCTAGTGCATGGTCACACACACAGCAGCAATTTCTGGTCATTGTTGTTTTTACCCCTCTTTACACTCTGAGTGACTCTTTAAAAAAGCGATGCCCACTTTACATGCAAGTCAAGGTTCATTCACACAGTTTTGCATTCAAAAGGATAGTTCACCCAACAATAAAAATTTGCTCACCATTCACTCAATCTCAAGTGGTTTCAAATGAGTTCATGAGTTTCTTACTTCTGTTGAACACAAAGTTATTTTGAAGAAAGCTGAAAAATTATAACCAAGCAATAACTTCCATAGTAGGTAAAACAAATGCCATGGATGTCAATAGTCACTGGTTTTCGTTTCAGTTTTTCAAAACAACTTTATATTGTGTTCAACAGGAGAAAGAAACTGTTGTGGAAATCTGCTAAAATTCAGTCAGACAAGGGTAAGAGCAAAGCAAAAAGGTAGTTTATTAAAATAATCCTGCAGGATGACACCTGTTATACACAGAGAGAGAGTGACTGTAAAAGACTATGTCTCAGTCTTTTAACAGACAGTTGAATACTCATCAGCACGTATACACTCACCTTTGTGCAAAAGTACAGGAAAAATACATTTCTAGTGGGAAAGAAAAGATCTTGTTGTGGTCTTCTAACTCCCGACTTGGAGTGCTACAATGTATCAGGCTTTGGCCTTGGCCAGTATCAAACTGCTTCTGTCTGCATTTTAAGAGAACATGTTGTTCATTTAAAAAATTCTATCAGAAAAACTTGAACAGGTTTGTTACAAGTTAAGGTAAATGATGACAATTTGAAATTTAGTGTGAACTATCCCTTTTAGCTGCTTTTCCATAATTTTTTCATATGTAAACATGTTAGACAGACGTGTCTCGCATCCTTTGCAGCATCTGACATGGCATGACACTGTAGTTAAATGTAGCACCTTGCATTTGCTTTTCAATCCAGTTCTTCTTCTTTCAATGCATTCTGTGCGACTGGTCTCTTAAAGGGACATGTCAGCCAATAATCCCTCCATCCTCAATGGTTTGAATCTTATTTGAGTTTCTCTCTTCTGTTGAACACAAAAAAAAAAAAATACAAAAAAGATATTTTGATTCTTCAAGGGGGAAAAAATCAACAGAAAAATAGCCAGTTGATGGTGAGTAAAATCTTCATCTTTAGGTTAACCATCCCTTTAAACTTTTTTTTTCTTGTGCAGTGATTACAGGAGGTCCTCTGGAAAATATGTACAGGCTTAAACAGTTTCACTTCCACTGGGGAAGCAAGGGTTGCTGTGGCTCCGAACATACAGTTGCTGGAAAAACCTTTGTTTCTGAGGTGAGGCTGCAGATCCCGGGATCTCTTTCTGCTCTAATGTTTTTTTTTACACAGTCTTCATTATCACAATCCTGCGACATGAACACTCTCTTTATTTCCATCCAGCTTCACCTGGTTCACTGGAATGCCAATAAGTACAAGTCCTTTAGTGAGGCTGCAGCTGCCCCTGATGGCTTGGCGGTGCTTGGCATCTTTCTGGAAGTTAGTCTCAGTGGGAGTCTGGACTCCTTTAAGACTTGTGTCTATCTATGTCTATTTGTCTTGTCTGTCTGTCACTTTCATGCTCCCTTTGATTAATGAGATATTGGATGCGAGTATGAACTGTTGGAGGAGTGTTGTTTTAATAGAGTTTCATACCGCACGCCCTATGGGAAAAAAACCCTTTGCATTTCACAATAGTTTGATTGCAGTGCTTGCATGTCTATACTGCACTTCAATACTGCAACTAAAACCAGCAAACTCTACATGTCTTAATCCGATTTCTGTTTAGTTCAACTATGACCTTAATAGGATTAAATTAATCAGAAATCGTTGTTTACATGGTATTGTTTTAACCATATTAAAATGATTATTGGTGTCCATGTAAACGTACATAATGCCTAAAAACGAAACCAATGCTAAATACAACATAAACCCAATTAATAGTTTCTAATTTTTACCTTCTCTAAAACTGTTATAAAATATAATGTGTGTAAAACCAGAAATTTAGGATCCAGTATAGACATTAAAGGACCTATTTTTGTCGTACAAGGAATTTAAGACAAAGAATAAAGTACTTTAGCACTATTCTTTTTTTTATTTAGGAGAAAATAAAAATTATGTTTATAAACTAATACTTTTGTATTAGTATTGTGGTATAAAGGTTGTATTATTCATCTTTTTCACTTTATACTTTAAAAATGTCACATTTTTTGGTGCTTAAAAAGAGAAAATGTTGCTCAAACCAATCAATTTATTTTCAGGCACAATTCTGTTCGTGTGCAAATTAAGTCAAAACATAAAAAGCAAACATAATGTTTTTCATTGCAAACATCTCCTTTTCAACCTTTACCTTTGTGGAATTTACTAACTGTTTTTATGCTGGTGTTTCATGCAGATCTTTATTCTAAAAAAAGTGTTTAATTATTTTTTGTGTTGTTTCAGACCGGTGATGAGCACAGAGCTCTTCATCAAATAACAGATGCCTTGTATATGGTTAGATTCAAGGTAAGCTATATACATTTAATGGGAAAGCATCGATTCGGACAGAAGGCATGAATGAATAAAGGTCTTAGGAAAGCACTACTTTAATCCCCTTTTTGCATCTGATTGAATTTGGAAACACCCAGATGCCTCTTTGCATGTGATTTAATTTGGAAATATTTGTCTTGAAATATGTTAATGATTTTCTAAGCATTCAAATGAACACCACTTTCACGGTGTCTATGAGTGACCCTTGTTGTTCTTTGTTTATTTTTTTTCATTTTTATTTGTTTTTTTTGTTTTTTTTTGACTTGGCATTACTGAATTACATGGCTATTCTGCTTCATTTTTATTTTTTTTTATATTTAACATTTTTATTTTATGCAGTTACTTGCATTTTTCTTACTTGCCTTAAATTTTATGTACAGGTAGATTTCTTAAAGAGCATAACCAAATATCAGTACCAAAGAAGACTAAATTTCGGAGATTTGTCCATTCATATTAGATGACCTCTAATAATCAGAACAAAGCAGTAGAGTACTTGCATGAATGCTTTTTTTCCTCTTGTAGGGCAGCCTTGCTGAATTTAAGGGCTTTAACCCTAAGTGCCTCCTGCCAAACAGTCTTGAGTACTGGACATACCCGGGCTCTCTCACCACTCCTCCTCTGTATGAGAGCGTCACGTGGATTGTGCTGAAAGAGCCTATTTATGTGTCAGAGAAACAGGTGAGCCACATGATTTCTCAAGTTTTGATTAGATGGCAAACTGATTATCACTTTATTTCTGAAACGGTATTGCTAGTGTTTGTCATGGCCATCATCTGGTCTATTGACAGATGTCGGTTTATGAAAATGAATGGTTGTGGAGGGAGATGGATGTGGGAAACTCTCGGGCTGAATCAAAATCATTGGTAGTGATGTAAATTAGGGATAATCCACAATATCCCGATATGTCAGCGATGACTGTGGATCTAGCCAGAAAGGATTTCTGCTGATGTGATTGAATGTCTGGTTTTATGGCTGTTGATGTGGATTTGTAAATGATTCTAGTGTTTGTTAATATTAAAAAGCAGTATGAAATATTACAGTGGTTATAAGGTTTAAAGGGGACTTATTATGCAAAAATCACTTTTATAAAAGGTTTTTAACACAGTTGTGTTGAAACAGTCTGTGAATATAGCCAGCCTCTAATGATAATACTGTATTTTTTATAATCACACTTGATAAAAACAGTCTGCAGAAACACTTTGTTTGACATTTTTCCTACATGTCATCAAAAGGAGAAAGCCCCGTTGGTTAGTGGTGATTTCTCCCTCACTGTATAGGATATCATTCTTGTTTTTGAATCTGCCGCTATGCTGACACACGGGCATTTGTAGCTCCATCATCTTTTCAAAAGACAACACAATCTCATTTGAATTTAAAGTATAATTTAGGATAAAAGCCCAATAGGGTCAGTTTCAAGAGTTACAAAGCAATATTTGTTAGGTATTGTAAGCTGAAACTAGGGACATTAGAGACTTATTTTATCTCTTGTAAAAAAAAAAGGCATAATGGCTCCCTATTTGTTTTTAAAGTGTGTAATTAAAGACTTTTTTGAGACAATGCAACTCTTGAAATGTCACATTTTTTCTTAAGTCTTTTTAGATTTTAAATTATGGCGGCACTTCTGTTTTAGGGAATTTTGACTAAAAAGTCATTTCAAATCATACAGTGCTATTACAAGTAGCCTTGTCTTAAACAAGGTTGGGGAAAAGTTATATTGCAATCTTATGTCACTTTTTTTTTAACTAAATGTGTTGCTTATGCCGAGTTAAGACCCCACAATTTTCAAAGTAGTTGTGTCAAAGATGTTTTCACACTGCAGGACTATCTTGGCTAGCATTTGTCACTGCTGTGTTTACGTTGTAGGATGGATTAGTGACAGGGGGCTCACACTGCATGACTTTACGATTGGGAGAAATGCTCACATTTTTGTCTCAGTCCGCAAACTACATCTCACAACCAACGGCACACGGGAAGTGACATGAAAAACATGTCAATACCATGACGATTATCTTGTGTTATTAACTACATAATGAAAAAGCTCACCTGGCTTTTCAAAGGAATTAGAAATTTCTCTTAGGGTGCTTTCACACCTAGACTTTTGTTTTGGAATCTGTCTTGTTTGCCAAGTTAGCACGGTTCGTTTGGTATATGTGAAACCAGCAATCGCACTCGGATCCATGCCAAATCAATCAGTCTGAGATAGCCTGAATGTCGTGGTCCCGACTCGATTGAAACGAACTCTGGAGCGGATCGATTGTAGTGAGAAAGCAAAATGATCCGAGCCCTATGTAATAGGCATATATGGCTATTTGAAGAGAGAATTATCAGTAGGGGCGAAGCAGTGGCGCAGTAGGTAGGGCTGTCGCCTCACAGCAAGAAGGTCACTGGTTCGAGCCTCGGCTCAGTTGGCGTTTCTGTGTGGAGTTTGCATGTTCTCCCTGCGTTCGCGTGAGTTTCCTCCGGGTGCTCTGGTTTCCCCCACAGTCCAAAGACATGCGGTACAGGTGAATTGGGTAGGCTAAATTGTCCATAGTGTATGAGTGTGTCTGTGAATGTGTGTGTGGATGTTTCCCAGAGATGGGTTGCAGCTGGAAGGGGATCCGCTGCGTAAAAACCTGCTGGATAAGTTGGCGGTTCATTCCGCTGTGGTGACCCCGGATTAATAAAGGCACTAAGCTGACAAGAAAATTAATTAATTATGAGTAGAGTGGGATGTCATTCTTACCGGTTAATGTGCATTTCATGGTAAATACAAAAATGAAAGCATGCTGAACTAATAACGAGAGCTGTTTATCCGTTAGGAACATTTGCCAAACTGCAGTCTAGCCAAGGGCTCTGTATGAGAGAGTCTTACCTCTGATTTATATTTGGTGACGAAATCTGTGGACGTCACCATTCAAAATTAAAGCGCAGCTTTCCGCTTAATGTCTTATTGCTCATCGCCATAAATTAAAACAAGGACGCTTGACAGCTGAGCGGGACAAAATAAACCATGAAACTCTGACCAATGTAAGGAGAGTTAACTCACATGTGACTTGTTTTAGCTCTTTTGGTCCGTTTAGAAACTTTGCCACGTGAAAGCGAACCGCACCAAGAACAAAGGGCAACATTGTAACAATTTGAATCCCTGTTTCAGAACAAATGAATCGATTCACAGGTATGAAGGCACCCTTAATTTTTTTTTTTCCACCTGGTTGTGGTCTACCCCAGTTCAGATTAGAAACAACACTCACGCAGTGCTTAACACTCAACGCTTGCTCTGCTGCGCTCGCAACGTGACAGACATGCTCGTCTATCAAGCATGTGTTTACATGGAAAAACAATGAGAATTAGCACACTGGAATGTAAAGACACATGTGAATGAGCCCTACGTGAGCTTTAGAGAATTCTTTCAAACTCTCACTGATCTTTTGTTGCATGTGTCCTCTGCTTTAACCTTTTCTTATTATGAGATTTACATTTCAGACCCTCCACTCAATGTCCATCTAAAAGACTGCTGTGGATTTGTTTTCCGGCTGTGTACTAGTCTCTCAGACTTTGTACTAAATTGCATTAAAGCAAGCATGAGCAGTTTACCATGTTGGCGACACAGTTGCGGCAGCGGCCTAGTGTGACTGGCGTGAGGCCACAAGACTTTGATCTTCTACAGCTTATTAAAATGATTGATGAGCTATAAGCGGAAAAAAGCTCAGGAGATTCACAGCATGGAGTATCAAGCCTCTTATATAAGACACCGAACTAGAGTTGATTTCTTTTTCCTGAGCTTGTTTTTCATGCTGTTTTTTTGTAATGTTGTTTAATCTTAGATGGGAAAGTTTCGCACGCTTCTGTTTAACGGTGAGGAGGAAGAAGACCGAAATCGAATGGAGAACAACTACAGACCACCACAACCACTGAAAGGCAGGATGGTGCGAGCCTCTTTTAAATAGCCTGGTGCTTATTGATGAGCTGGAGCTTCAAAACCACCAAATATGATGAACTATATTCTTCAAAACACTGTTCCTTGATCACTTTTGAAGTTCAGACGTATATTAAGGGTGTTGGGTTTGTTCTATCATGTCACTGTCTCTTGAACGCTGCTTTAAGGTTTTGGGCAATGACCTTAAACACACAGCTTGACTGACATTGAGCTCTTTGAATCCGAGGCTCTCCATTTTTAGATCTCTTCTCATCCACCTTGATCAGGCTTGTGCAAACAGATCCTCGTTGTAGATTCAAAGGGTCCAGGCTGTGGGTCTGGTAAGCCCACTGTCGCCTGCTTCTTCACCGGTGTACACAGTAAGAATGGATCAGTAATCCAGGAGTCTGAAATTGAACCCGTTCGTCTCCAGCTGGGGCTCTTGTTAACTTTTGATAAGGCATGCGCGGTGACATTTAAGCTCTTCATAGTAAGGTAGATGGTTGCACTCAGTTGACGCTTGAAGTTGCATGATTACACAGCGTTATTTTGGATTTTGTTGTGATTTTATAAAGTAAGTCGTCTTTGCAGACTGTAGTGGGACTTTGTTTCCTGGCAGTGAAACTTTATAAATGATTTTACAGTAATGTGTGGAGGTTGAAATGACTGATGGATCACGCTGTGCACACTTTAAAAAACAAGTTCCTATTATTAATGTAATTCCTAATGGAATCTCTGGCAGGGGAGTGACGGAAGCTCTCCAACAGCTCAGAGCCGTATTTAGACTCAACTCCTGGAAAACATCCAGCTCAGACGGCAGGGATTTTCTTTTGGATGTGTTTGGGGATTTCATACGTTTTGTATTGTAATTAGGTATGTTAAATATGTACAAAATAAAACTATTTTAATAATCTATTTGTGGTATTTTATTTGTCACTGTGTTTCGTGCATGACGTGTAAACTATGTTGCTTCCTATTTTAAAAGTAATTGCAATGAAAAATGCCACAAATTAAATGTTTATACATATTGATGGGGCTATATGATTTGTCCTGCACAAATATAGATATTCAATCAGATAATGTTTACTTGAAAGGACAGCATAAGCACCTTAAAAAAAAACACCACTAAATCAAGTTATTAAAATAACAGATGACTATGCACTGAAAACCCTATTGTCTAAGATGTCATTATTAAGATTTTTCTCTCATTCCTTAAGATAAAAAGTACTCACCCGAATCTTTCTGACTAGTCTGGCATCCTCATTTGGTGAAACATGGGTAAACACTGACCATTAGTTTAGACCAGGGGTCCCCAAACTTTTTCTTATGAAGGGCTGAAGGTAAATATAGTTGCGGTGGCTTATTTCCTAATTCATTTAATTATGTTTAAAAATAACTAGAAAACATTGACTTCATATGAACTAATAGTGTATTTTTGGCGTTTTATAATGAATGTATTAAAGTACAAAACAAAATCTCATTTATAACAGAATTACATAGTTTTTGCCTTGATTCGCTCACAGATGTCTTCTGCATAGTTTTCTATCCATTGAGTGACAGTATCTATTTTTAAAAAAATCATTTACAACATTTAATTAAAGCCTTTAATTTCAGTTTGTTCCAAATAAAATAACTAAAAAAAAGCTTACGTCAAATTAGAAATTAGAAACGACAGTCTCTGTGTTGAAGGCCCAACCCTTACCATTATTCTCACTGTCCGTTCAGATGGAATGGTGGGCTAAATCAAAGGTTACAATTTTGATGCGCGGGCCCTACTTTGGATATCTCTGGTTTAGACATGATCTCCTTTGGTACTTAACATTTATAAATTAAGTTAACAAATATTTCTAGTTTGAAATCATTGATTGCTTTCCCAATAGGCATAGGCATAAAATATAGGCCTGTTTATAGAGCTCCAAAACATTGAAACACAACCCTAAAATTAAACGGCGTTCAAAGTTCTGTGGTCGAGTTAATTCCATAAACATTAAATAAAAATTCTGTAGCTTTTATTACTGCACATTATGTCCTTAAAGACCAAAATGTTCAAGCACAACAGAACATACTGTATATGCCCAAATTTTGTGTTAGTTCACTTTTATCTCTATTACATGTAGCTAAAAATACAAGTAAAATTTTTTAAATAAATTTAAGTTTGTGTACATTTGTTATATTTTAAATATGAACTAACTATATCATTTTGAAACTAACAAATTACGTAATAAAACAAAGAAATGCATTTCAAGAAAAAGTCTTATCAGTCAAGTGCAGCGACAGCTTTGAAGTTATGTGCTTGAGTAAAATTGAATATTTGAATTTCTTCTACAAAGTAAGCATGACATTTTAGTAACAATTTCAAAATAAAATGTAATTTAGAGCAGTGGTTCTCAAACTTTTTTCACCAAACCTCCATAATGACTGGTATTGAAATACATGGTAGGCTTAAACAAGCGGCTACAGCTCTGCACAGTTCACAAACGTGGCAGATGAAATCTTATTAATATAAAAATGTATTATTGTCAGCCACTTTAAACATAATAAATAATTTGACCAATATCACACAAGTGCAAAATAAAGATAAATAAAACATCAACGTTTAAATTAAAATGTGATTTTACAAATTATTTAAACATGGCACTGTTCTCAAACGTTAAAAGAAAACTGCTGTAATTAAATGTAAAGTATTATCATAAATAATAATACTGCAGGCCATTCCAGGTGGGCCCCACGCAGGCCAACCCAGCCCATTTTGAGGGATGCTAAAAAAAAAAAAACAATGGTCCCAATGTATTTTCTGTTTTATATTTACAAATTTTATCGCTCCCAAGAATCTATGAAGAACCACATATTCAAAAATAATGTTACGATAGCTTTTTTAAAATTAATTTATGATTGAATTGCCTTTTGTTATTGATAAAACTATGAAATAGTTTGATAACAAGCAGGAAAAGTTTATGGGCCAATGACATCACCACATTGAAATGGTTTATACCAGTGATTCTTAAACTTTTTTCACCAAATACCACCTCAGAAAAAATTGTCTCTCCAAGTACCTCCATGATGACTGGTATTGAAATACATGGTAGGCCTAAATAAGCGACTACAGCTCTGCACAGTTCACAACGAGGCAGATAAAATCTTTTTATTACGAAAATTTGTTATTGTCAGCCACTTTAAACACAATAAATAGTTTGAACAATATCACACTTACAGGTGCAAAATAAAGATAAATCAAACGTCACCGTTTAAATGAAAATGTGATTTAAAAAAAAAACATTTAAAAATGGTACTGCTGTAATTAAATGTAAAGTATAATCATGATTAATAATACTGCAGGCCACCCCAGGTGGGCCCCACACGGGCCATCCCAGGTGTAATCTTTGATTATCAGTGTTTTAAAGGAAAAAGAGGCCTCTAATTAACGCTTGATCCCCCCTGAAGGACGTCAAGCAAGGTTTCAGCCCTTTCATAGTGAGAAATGGTTTTCTCTGGATCTTAAATAATAGTATTATGAATTAAAATAATACTCTGTTAAACTCAACAGTTAACTTTATCCAATGAAATGAGTGCAGTTAATTCAAAATTTACTGCAAGGTAATGCTACTCATTTGAAAAAAGTTTTGAACTCAGTGTTAAAGGTAATGAGTTAATTAAATACCTCAATACTTCAACTTAAATGGGAGCAAGTTCACAGTACTCATATAGATTAGTTCATCTCAAATGGGTTGAGTTGCCTTTACTTATTGGGTTTTACAGCACTCAGTTGGTTTGAGTTTTCTTCATTCATCGGGTTTTACTGTGCTCAAATTGCTTCGTTTACTCAAATGGATTAAGTTCACAGTACTCAGGAATAGTTGTTGAACTTAAATGGTTTGTTGCAAATCTGTTTCTTCAAACGGTTTGAGTTACAGTACCTTAACTTTTTGAGTTTTACAGTGTAGATAATATAAATCTACATTTGACCCTATAACAGATCATACTGTAGTAAATGCATAATCGCTAGAAATTTATTGCAAGTGTTTAAAATATTTTTTTTTATTGTAAAATGGCTGATTTTATCTAGATTTATCCTTAAAGTCAAATTAGATGCATATATTTTTAAAGTTTGACCTAAAGTATCATCTGAAGTAAGCAGAGGTTAGCCTACTCTAAGTTAGCTCTCTCAAAACACTGAACGTTTATGTTTTAATAATGAATTAGATTGAAATAATTTCAATAAATACTACATTTGATTCACTGAAGCTTTTATTAAACAAACATTACCCAAAAAGTTGAGCCCCCCTTGATTGTCAATAATTCGTACCCTACTTTAAATGTGCCAGTGTTTGCAGCCTTCAGAAGTGACTGGAGCTGGAGAATGTTTAACCTTGTGGATCTGTGAGTCAGTGTTTTCCTGCAGGGTCTGAGTCTGGAATATTCAATAGCTTGTTCCATCAGGTAATCAGGCTAAGGCTCATTACACAGGAAAGAAAGGATAATAAGGAGAAGCGAGGGGCTGCCTTCTGTTTGCCCAGCCATGTGCTGCTGTGAAACGCTCACCATCCACATGAGTGATGATGAAGTCTGGAACACACTGACTAATGCGGACGATTAGTTGATCTTGACATTTGCTCAAGCCAAGCACTTTTCTCTGAATGAAGCTGTTTCTAAAGAAAGTTTGTTAGGGAGGTCTGTAATACCCAGAGAAATTTATTCATTTAGCATTCAGAGGTAGTTCCTCAGTGAGTACATCATGTATGCTGTTGGACACTCAGTTCCAGACTGTTTTTAGAAACGATATGTGTATAGATGCCTTCGTTTTATAGCCAAAATGGCCAAAAAATTATATAGGTCAAAATTATATACATAATTTAAGGCAAAAATCATTAGAGTATAAAGAAAAGATGATGTTTTGTGAAGACATTTTGTAAATTTCCTACTGAAATCTATCAAAACTATCGAAAAAGAAAGCACAGAAAAAAAATAAATAGCATAGCTGTTACTCATAATAGCAGTTTATGTGAGTTTAATAGAGTGTATTTAATGAGATGGAGCATACAGTTATGGGATACATGCGTATATATTATTTACTAATAAGTCTTTAATCTAGATTTAAAAAGAAGAAGTCTGTCTGAGCCGTGGGCATTATCAGAACGGTTATTTTAGCATTTAGGGGGCAGTTGTGAAAATGGTCGACCTCTTTAAGTGGACTTTGCATTCTGGGCACTAAACATTAATGGAAATAAAAAAAATTAATTCAGCTTTGAGATGATCAAAATATCAGTTTCAAAAAATGGACACTTATGGCTGGATTTGGGCTGCAAAGTTGCATACTGGAAGAGTCAAGCAAATTTAATAATATACCATTATATGTTTACAGATATTTAAGAAACATGCCAAGTGAACATTTTTGTTTATCTGAAAAACAATGCTGAAGTCAGATGTTCTGCTTTGAAAATGTGTTTTCCGTGCCAAAATCATTTCAAATTCAAAAATCATTGAAATGCTTGCCATATTAACAATGTACAGTTTTAATTTTATCATCATTTCAATGTAATTGAAAAAACTATTTGTTCGTTTAATTAATTAATTTCAAAATTCATAGAAGTAGTTTAGTAAAGGCTCAGTCTAGATTTTCAGTAATAAATATATGTTTGTTCAGTTTTTTTAACGTCTGATAATTGGTTGTTGCTTGTTCTTTACATACATAGCTCAGCATAATTGAGTACATTCCATTTTGAAAATGAATATTTTTCTCCATTTCTCAGGCAATATATTTTGGTGCATTTAAACAAAACAGATATTTTTATTAAAATGACATTTTAGTCACCAAACATATTTTCAAATGGAAAGATAAAACAATTAAATTCAAGCTAAATTCATTCATTCATTTTCTTTTTAGCTTAGTCCCTTTATTAATCTGGGGTCGCCACA